TCTTATGCTATATGTGGTAACTTTCTCTACACACCTTTCGATAACTGTGCTACATTTTTTTTTTCCAGATGGTGGAGCCTACAAATTTATCTCTATGACATGTAATAACTTATCTTCTTTAACATGATATTAATAAAATCCTTTAATCAATTATCACCAAACACGTGGATTAATTGAATAACTTGTTTAAACTTAGGGTTTTATAAGAGTTATGTTGTAGGAAAAAAGATTGTGTAATGTTATAGAGATTCGTTTTGCGTGCCTTAATTTTTTATTTATTTTTTTGTTTTAAAAAGTGTGGGCCCCACATAATATTGTGAGGATAGGAAAATTTGTTGTGTTATGTTAAAGGATAAAACGAAAACCCTTAAACTTAATAGGATAGTTTTGCTACCCAACTCGAATTGATATAGTAATACATGATTTACATCCATTGGTATTTGAACGCCGACTCAACTCGTGATCACATACTAATCTCGTTTCTGGGACAGGAACATTTAAAAAACGAGCAAGGTACGTAATATTGATACTTATTTGCTTTTTTGATTTTGGGTAATTTGTTCCCCATTTGCTTTACAAATATACCATAAGCACGGGTCACCACTACTTCTCCTTATTTTCTGCTTGCCACTGAATAAAACCCGTTTCATGTGGCCACGAAAAGTAAGTGAAAGCGATGTTTCCTTTGTTCTTTACCACCCTTTTTAAGAAGGGACTACGATTTCAAGCACATTCTGATTTGTTTGGCGATTCATTTCATCATCGATCAATCAACCTCTTTCTTGTTTGTTGCTTGTCTCTCCATCTTTTTTTTCTTTTTTCTTTTTGTCATGTGTGTCAACTACAGTTAGCCAAAATGTGGCTATCAGTCTTTAGTTGTTAATTAACTTGTCACGTTAACTATATCCTGTATTCCAATTTAGTTATTAACCTATTATGCTTAAAGCACGGTTTCCTTTCCATATTACGTACTATGACATACCTTGCCACTTCCAAGCATGCATTGTTAACGCATAAGGCACCTAAGCGTAAAGATTTTGTACGCACCTAACCCAATATATGAACAACAATATATACTTGACCAAATTGTGTTACAATGACTAGTTTTTTTATATAGAAGTAATGTCATATATAAGGAGAAATGACAAGGAATACACCATATGCAAGCAAGATTTAATTCGGGTCCCTTTGGTGACAATGTAAAAAAGACAGTATGATGGAAAGCACTTGCATACATGATACAATAGTAGATTTATCCATAAAGGGCGTTTGGTTGAGGAGAAATTTTATGAATAATAGGGAAATATTATAGATAGGCAAATGGTTGAAGGATTATGTTAGGTAGGAAAATGTAAAAAAAGTTGTTTGGTTGGAAATAATTTAGACGGGAAAATTTGTTAACTTTTAGAAAGTCTATGTTTGGGTGTAGATAAAATATAGATAGGAAAAAAAGTCACAATTACGTAAATAACCCTATTTCCTACAAAATTGTGAATCACGCGTGGGACCCTTCTTGTATGAAATAGACGATAAAGTAATAATTTTGCTGATTACACATAAAGTGATTTTGATAGCTAATGAACAATACCATATATCACGTGGGAAAAGGATAGCTAGCTATTGTATGAGATAGACATCAAAACACAACTTCCCAGCAATCACATTTACATAGCCAAATTCAGAAATCCCTCCCTCCCAAACATGGTGATCTTAGAAACCCACATATCACTTGCGTATCAAACTCATCAAAATCCCTAAACCAAACACCCCCTAAGTATCATGGGATTAATGTTTTTCCTGCGCACACATGATAATATGTAGGGTCTTATGAGAAAAAAAAAGAACTTCATTCACTTTCACGTGCACAGAGGAAATAAAATTATTTCCTATTTCCAAAAGAAAAATTAAAGAAACATTAAGTCCATCTATTATTTCCTCTTTCCCAAATCAAATATTAGCGGAAGATATTACACTTATATAAAAAAAAAAATAGCTTAAGAAAAAATTACAAATTTCTTGAGCCATGTCTCTTCATTAGGGGTGGCAAAACAAGTAATGATCCGCAACCCGACACACCTAAATGCATGTTGTGTTTGACCCGCGAGTTGAAATAGGTTGTGTACGAGTTTGAGTTTTTTTACACGATTTAGTGTTGTATCGTATCACGGGTTAATCTATGTGACTCGAGTGTCAACCCGTATTGAAGATATTTTTGATAATTCATATTATAAATTCTATTTGTGTTATGTCGTGTCAATCCGTAAATATACGTATCAATTTCATATTTTTTTGGTATTTTTTTTTTTTTTTTTTAAAAATTATCAATTTTTTTTGTATCGTATCTTGTTGATCCACGATCCACAGCGAGTCGTGTCCAGGTTCGAGTTTTTGATCCATCAACAAATACTTATCATGTATAGGTTGAGCAATTTCGTATTCGTGTCAAATACATATCATGTCGTATTGTATCGACCCGTTTTACCACCCCAACCCATTGTTAGCAGAACTTTTTTTTGCTTAGGAATTATAATATTTAATTGAATGGACAAAAGAGAGAGTGCCAGAACAGGCACTAAAGCACAAGGCACACGAAGACAAGAAATTAGGAATTAATTAATTAGAGACCAAAGGAAGTGGGATTGAGAGCAGTGCAAGCAACCATCTTTGTTTGCTCCCTCGACCCTGTTATCAGCAATGTTTGCCCCTGCATGCACTGACTGCTCTAGGTATGGCTATAACTTTTTTCAACTAAAAATTAAAAAGGGTGAGAATGAGACAGTGGTTTATTCCACCGATTTCAATTTTAATTAACTATTTCATGTTTGGATTATAACTTACACAAATTAAATTTCATACACAAGTAAAATATTTGATAAAATCATAATAAAATTGTGTTTGAGAGTAATTTTAAGTATCAAATTATATTTTGAACCGAAGTGAAAAAGATTACTTTTTCTGTAAAGTCAAATTATAAGTCACCATCTAATAATCCAAAGATATGATACAAATAATAAACTATAAACTAATTGATTTAAAAAGTCTCGAGTCTCAATGATCCTTGGGGAGTGCTCGCGTGGCGCGGGACCACGGACCGAAACCAAAACATGACCATGTCTGTCGGGTCACTGTGGCGAATCGTTTCGCAATCTTCACGTACGTGTTGACAAAAGTATAGATTTTTCATTTTTAATTCCTCAGCAATCTTTCAAGTGGGAAACTATAATTAAATAGCTCTTGCATTCTTTCTGTCTGTCTGCTGTTTTTATCGTTAAACTATTCATATGATAGAATTGAAAAACAAAAAAAAAAAGTATAAGAAAGCAACCGCTTTAACTATAGAAATAATATTAAATGGATTTTTTTTATGAGCAAGTATAATTAAATAATCTGATCTCGAACTTTTATATGTAGTTCATTTGACCGCGAGCTGACTTCATATAATTTTTAATTTATGGGAAAAATTCGTGTCATTTTAAAGGATGTAAAGTTGTGTCATTTTAAAGAAAGTAAAGTTGTGTCATTTTAAGTAAGAAAAGAGATAGATAAAGTTGAAGAGAAAGTGAACAAAAAAAATAAAATTATGGATCTCACTTCTTTGTGAGAGTAAATGGATATAAATTATGTCATTTAAAATAACAAACACTTTTCTCATAATTTATATACAAGAACACACCCCATAACACTTTTTTAAATGAAAAAATATATAAAATTAAAGTTTTTTTAATATAATATTTAAACTTTATATATCAAGCTTGGCAGAGCTTGAAATAGGCATAATTTGATTTAGGAGAGTATTTTCTATACTCTCTAGGAGAGTATAGAAAATATGTACTCACTTTGACCTTCTATCCATCTCTTTAACCGTAAAAATATGTACTTGCAACTCTCTAGGAGAGTATTTTCTATACTACCGTTCTACTGAGTGTTGGGTATGACGGTAGTTCAAAATCAAATTATAAATGATGTATTTATAGAAAATATATAATTATAATATCTTTTCTTCTTCAAAAGACATGTTAACTGATGTGGAACACTCCTATAGATGGGTTCATAAAAATCGTAGTGTAGATTTTTTCCTAATCTAGATACTCTAGTTTTAAGGTTATTCTACCCATTTGGTTTGGGCTTCAGGTTATTTTTCTTGCTTCATTGGGCCTTCGGTCCCTTTTTGTTATTAAGAAAATTTGATAATATGGGAAGCTAGCTTAAATTTTGGTGTATTATACATCTAACATTATTTTGGTATCTATAACTCTAAAAGATCTACTGCATTATAAAATGATCCCTTATCAATTATCACCAACCTATGAGGATTACCATTCTAGACCCAAAATAACACGTTTCTTATTTTCCCAGACTTTCCATTCACAAAGGCAAGTAGCAAATGACGTCTTTGCTAGTTAGATTAGGTCCAGCTTCAATAAATTAACTTCCATTAGATTATATTCTTCAAGCAGTTCATGTTATTGGTTCTTTAGACCAAAACGGCATATGTTGTTGTCCTACACCAACTTATCTTCATGTCCAAAATCAATGTGACCAGATAATGAAGCAGGGCTAGTAACATAAATAAATAAGTGATAGGTTAGCTTTAAGTTAAAACTTCTTGTTTTCCAAATACACAGATTTATTTTTTTAATCTGAGGAGATTATAGGATATCAGGTTGTCATCTAAAGCTCCCATTGAATCATATGACTATAACAGATGGATGCTGGAACCACAAAGCTACAGAAAAATCAAGTACACAGTCTACAGTTTGGAACAAGTGCAAATATTCATCATAATGTTCCCAGTTATGAAGTTACTAGTTACCAATAAACCCCATTATTGAATGATACATAGTTTATTTCCTGCCAAATATAAATGAAAAAAACACTTTAGAACAACTTTTCACCCTATCAGTTGTCAACTACTACGAAATTCATCATCACTCATCAATCCTAAGTCAAGAGAAGTTCACTTTCTTCCAAATGGACCAATATAAGTCAAGTCAGGCTGAAGCTCTGGACAATAGGAATAGAAACTCTCTCGCTGCATTTCTATAGTAACAAGACAGGCATCTGGAAATTATGCATGGGACAAACATAAAGCCTCTCAACCTGTCATCTAAACTAAAACATCTCTTTTAGTCCTTTTTTGAGGTTGCCAAAATAGTTTTTGTACCTCTGTGCTAACCCAAACATGCCCAGCGTGCCTCCGGTGTGAAGCATCACCACTTCTGATCCTCCTTCAGCTTCTTTGCCAGAGAGAAGCATTGTTGTTTCCCAAGCAGCCAATGTGTACACGGGATACACCAGAATTCCAGTTTGTTGGGCAATTTTCTGACATGCTTCCACTTCCCCTTCCAAAACATTACCAAATCTAGAATTTGCAAATATGTGATTGAGAGGGACCAGAACATGAGTCAGAGATACATACTATAAATAGTGATTCATATAGTTCCTTACAACAACTGCTTTTTCTCTTTGATATAAAGATAGATAGGCTTGACTCCTGTTAAGTGGCTATTAACATCTTTATACCAAGGTAAAAAAAGAAAAACTATAACATCTTACTTTCTAGGATGGCCACGTTCCACCCAATGCACTGTTAAACTTAGAGAAATTGGGATAATTGAAAATTAACAGTTGCAGAATTACAAGAAATAAAAGGCTGAAAAGAACATGGTGACAACAATGAATAAAGAGGAAAAAGACGTCCAACTTTAGGCCCCTTCGCGATCACCTTCCCTAAGTGTTGATCCTGCACATGACAACCAGACTTTGAGAATTCAACTTTGCAATCACTGTCAACTAAATGACCAACTGAAATAAGGTTACTGGTGAGATCAGGGGAAACATAAACATTGGTAAGAGATGAAGAAATATCACCAATTGCTGTGATAGGTAAATTGTTTCCATCCGCAGTGTGTATTTGTAAATTACCAGAGTAATTTGTAACATTGGTAAGAGAAGCAACATTGTTGGTCATATGATTGGATGCGCCAGAGTCAAAGTACCAAGGAGAGCTGGATAAAGAAACTTTACCTGAAAGACCCAAAGCAGAAAATGCAGAAACAATCATTTGTTGAACCATTTCAGGGGTTAAAGTTGGCACAGAAACAGGCGGATTCTGATCCACAGAAACAAGAGTAGTAGAAGAGCCAACAGTGGCAGTGAAGGCTGTTGCAAATGATGTGTAAATAAGATGCTTGATTCTTTGTGATAATACTAGAATCCAAATCTTACCGTGTATTAAGGTTTTACTACATGTTCATGAAAATCAAGAAATATATGTACACCTGAAAAAACAATTTTTTTTTTCTAATAAAACACAAATGATTTTTATCTAGGAAAATATACCTAAGCAAGACTCCTGATTGCTCAAGCCCAATTCTATCTAAATTTTTACCAAGTTAAAAGAAGATGTTCCTGAAGATATCATTGTTGTTTTTCTTTCAAAAAAAAAAACAAAACTCTACCTTCTCATTACCTAGTAGAGCAACAGAATCACCTGCACCTTCATTGACAATTAAAATTTTTCTTAGATGGTTTCCCTCACTTCCACTTTCATCCATTTGCACAAAATTTGGAGAAGTAGACAATTCAGTAGTTGAAGAAGCTTGAATGATATCATTGAACCATAGGACAGAACCATTGTTATCAGCCACCGAGTTAGCATAGCACTTTAGCATGTCTTCCCTGTTGGCATAAATAGTTCTTGGAACATATGTGACATTTCCATATATTGTAGACATCAAGTTATAGCCAGTCAAGATTTCAGGCTGCTCTCCTCTTAGAAGCAAATGTGACACAATTCCTTTTTCAGCACACACAACAGCTGCAAAATATGCAAATCATGATTTGGAAAGAAATAGCCCTACCAAAAGTATAATTCACTTCTGAAAACTCAGCACAATTTTAACCATAACCAAGAAAGTTACCTACCAATAGCAGCTGTGTGAGCACTCTGACAACCTCCGCATGTAACCTAGAAAATGTCCCATTGAATGTTATTTGATCTTGGAAATCCTAAAATTATAAACAGTGTGTGGTAAAAAAAAAAACAGTAGGAGTACAATAATTAGGAAAAACTCAAGGAGACTATTAGTGAATACCCTATATGGCTGCAGGAAACAACAATCTAATATAGATGCAGATAAGCAACCACCATCCACATATACTACCTTTTCCATTGCTTTACACTTTAAGCTGTAACATACATAAGTATATACTATACACTAACATGAACATCTAATAACAGTATAGCCTTAACTATTTATAAATAATAAAAATGACTATAAGAAAGAAAAAGTTTAAAACTCAGGGTCTAAGACAAATACTATATCCTAAAAGAACCCTGATTTTATTAATGACCCCTTTGACTGATAATGAACTTAATGCTCAAGATAAATTTTGGGGCCAGACAAATGTTATCAGTTGAGAGAATCTAGTTTACAGAAGCCAATAAAATGAGCTACCAAAGAATGGTTGTCAAAGAATGATTCAAGAAAAAAACTAATGGAAAATTTTACCACATCGGTCACTGAATAATCTTCAATGAGAGGAAGTAGTGCATCCAGTTTTCTTGCTTTATTGCCATTAACTAGTGGGTGCAACAAATCATCCCGCAAGATATAGAAGCTATTCCTTTGTTTATTCATCTCCAACAAGAAGCCATCACCATAAGCTGGATGCGTGTTCAATAGGAAATTAGAACCATGCGATCCATGTGTATGAATAACTTGGTGAATTTTTGTTTCAGGGCTCAGCAATGTCCATCTTCTGTTGAGTAGCTTTTCCATAAACTCCTTACTTGTGAGTTTTGATTTTGAAATGACCTACCAATGGGGAACAGATTAAACATAATTCTAGCCTCTGCCATCATTCTTGTAAGATATCAAAGACTTAGGAAACAAATTAAAAAGCAAATTCAAATTAAGTGAAAGATAGATGCATGAAACAAAAATCTATAAAATTAACATTGTTCATATTTTCTTTACAAATTCTTATCTGCAGTCTAATAAAAGAAACAAAAATCTCTTTCAATACTTCTTTAATACATAATGTTATGAAAAGGGTACAATGCAAAAGGTTCAAAGGTAAATGTCTAATAAAAATAAGAGTAATATAACTTTTTTGTTAATGCGGATAACAATTTTCTGCCATACATCGAGAAATGTGTATTTTTTTTTTTTTTAAAAAAATAGTAAGCTCCACCTCTGAGTATGTCTTATGGGGGTGTTCCGTAGAGGAGAAATTTTTTTTTATCCGAGAATCTCGATTTTCAGACATATGATTTTTACATTCAGTTTACAATAATATCCGAAAATTAAAAATTTAAAAAAATTCAGTTTTTCAAAAATCCTAAATAATATTGCGTATCAAACGTCCGTTTAGAGAAAAGCAAATTTATCTCCAATAAAATAAAATAAAGTTAACCCTAGGGGTGTTTATCAACCGATCCAAACTGATGCAAACCGCAGTAACCGAACCGAAAAATCGATAACAAAAAAAAAATCGCAAATATTAACTGAATTGGATCGGTTTTCGATTTGAATGTTAAAAATCGATCCAAACTTATTTTCTACCAAATTGAGCCTATCCAAAATAATAGCCCAAAATTATAAACCCACCCATTAGCCCATCAGTTTTGAATTGAAACGCAAAAAAAATTCTAGAGTAAATACTCTTTTTGTTCCTCAGCAAATTTCACGATGCCCGCTTTAGTTCCTATCACCTAAAAAGGCTCATTGTGGTCTCTAAAAAATTTAAAATGGACCCATTTACTTAAAACTGTAGTCCTTCACAAATTCAAAAAAAACTCATATTAGTTCTTAAAAAAACTAAAATGAATCCATTTTGAATTTTTTAAGAATCACGACTTACCTTTCTATTTGCTAGGAACTAAAATAGCCATCTTAAAATTTGCTAATTACCACATTTACTCAAAATTCTAAACCTAATCCGAATTTACGCAGAAAAACGCATCCGTGGGTCTTGCCGTCTTCGTCTTGCTCCCTTAGTCTCCCACTCTTCTCGCAGTCGCTCACGGCTCACGGCTCACCTCACTCACAGTCGCTCACAGGCTCACTTCGCTCACAGGATCACAATCTCACAGTCTCACAGTCGCTCACGGCTCACCTCACTCACGGCTCACCTCTCTCAGTCTCTCACTCTTCTCCAAGGTAAGACCTTTTTCCTCAGAAATCTTAGAACAGAGCATAATTATCATATATTCTGACGTGGTGTTCTAGACGTTTCCCTAAATTCCCCGTCTTTTTGTTTTTTGATGTTGGTTTCTGTCTGCTTCATATAGATCCATTAGCTTCCCATGTGTACGGGGATGTGACTTGCTTTGAATTAGAATCTAACCGCCTTATAAGTTTGTAAATTTCGAATCTTTTAATGTGGGAGTATTGAATTTCGATTTTGGAATTGCTCTAACGCTGTTCTGATGTGTTTGCTATGTGATGCTGGATGTGGACAGTTGATCCGTGTACTAAGTCATGGTCAGTCAGTTTCCTAGATTTAACGATGTTGAGATTGTTTGCTTTTAGTTACTCCTCAAGGGTGTGTATCATATTTGACATTAAGGAGTTATCAGAAAATAATATTGGTTCATCTGTGAGATTTGTTTTCAGATTGGTTGTTGTGAAAGGCCTAGAAATTGACTGTATATCATTTTTTTAAAAACCGTGTGCAGATCTTGCAAAAGGGGACCTCAAAAGCTGAACCCAATAACAAATTTAGCCTTCAAAATTTTGGTAGTGAGTGAAAGTCGAAGCTGACAAGGATTATATTGTACTTTCTGTCTTATTGTTTGCTTGTATTTATGTATGAGTGCCTTCGAGTTGTTCGAGTAGGTTGAGATGCAGAGGACCACCCAGCAGAACTCATTTTTTTTCTAAGTACAACTGATCTCTAGTCTTTTAGGTTTTCTCCTCATATGTATTTAGTATTTAGTTCCAATCAGTGTTCCCATATTCTGTGTTCATGACTTTCATATCGCAACAGTAATGTGTATATATGTGCCTATATGCATTTGAGAAAACTTTCACTAAACTACAAAAAACATCTATGTACATGATTTACTTAAAATAACAGTCGGTATAATTAATAGAACGCAACACATATACTGGTTTACTTTCCTAATTTAAGAAATAGTATTTGAATAATCATTACTATCAAGTATATGAAGACTTATTACTACGGTATTGCCAAAAATTTCTGCTACTACCAATACAAAGGATCCATGATAGTACTACTCATTTTATCTAAAAATAATTCTTATAAGTTCTGTTTTTTTTGGCTTTTCAAAAAACCGAAAACCGATCCAATCCAAACCGAAAAAAATTGAATTGGATTGGATCGGATTTGAAAAAAAATTCAAACCGATCGGATGATTAAATGATCAAACCGAAGGGATTGGATCAGATGATTTTTTGCTTCAAAACCGATCCAATCCAGACCGTGAACACCCCTAGTTAACCCCATAATAGTAAGGGAACTAAGAAAGTATAAACCCTAAGGCTACATTATAATTTTTTAGTTATTGACATAAAGCCAAGTATAAATTCTTAGTACATTTTTTTCTGGGCCCAAAAAAATAAATGGAAATTACCTCTTTTAGGGAGAAGTTTTTTTTGGACCTGGACCATGATAGTCCCTCCCAAAATAGAAAAAAAAAGAGATTGAAAAGAAAAAAATCAAAAAAAAAAAGGGGGAAATAAAAGAAAACTTTTCATTTATGAAAAAAGAGACCATTGAATAAGTAGGCGTATTAAATTTTTTCTTATAGATTACATTAATTGTAGTTTTTTATTAAATGAATAAACATTTTTTTATTTATAAAATTCATATATAAAAAAAAGTATACAACGTACTAAAATTTAAAGAAGAAACCAGGGTTTTTGTTAGGGTTTTCAACCCTTCTTCCCCAACACACTCAACCGACGACGATCCATTCCAATCCAATCCCTATGAGTTGTCTCGGCGTAATGGCGGCGGATCTGCTTCTAGCATCGGGCGAGATGCTGGACATCCTATCGCTTCAATCAAAGATGAAGTGCGACCCTGAAGGCTACGAATCGGAGCTACTGCTTCTCAAAGGTCAATTCAACTCGTCGCTTGAACTCTTTCAGCAAAATGCCGCAATGAACTTCACCTCCAGCATCGGCATTGGCCGAGACCCTACCATCGCCAAAGAACTCGGCGAGAAGGCCAATCTCCTCGCCCAAGTCACTCCCTTCTACTCTAACCACCTCGTCGATTTCCCTCAAAAACTTGCCGATTTGCTTCGCAGCTCCGCGCGCACTCTACCTTCGAAGCTTCGCTGCGCCCTCGCTGAAGCTCTTACCCTTTTTATTAATCGAAAGGTTTTTGCATTCGATTCAATTTCCTTTGTGAAAAAATAGTGTAGTTTAGTGTAGTGTCGTGACTTATGTAAAATCTCCAAAGCACCGATACGTGAAATCAGAGGAAAAATGAGTGTCGGACACAGACACGTTCCGACACGCACCCGACATGTAATTGACTTTTTTCGACACGTTGACTATCCCGACACGCGACTTTGACCGTGTCCGACACGGTCAAAGGGTACAAATGTAAATTTTTTGACATTTTTATAAAATTAAAATAATTTAAAAAAAAAAAAAAATTAAAATCGAATGTTTTGAGCCCTAAATCAAACCGCTCGGACTCACTTCCATCGTTCTCCGTCGCTCACCTAGCCGTCCGTCAGTGCCAGTTTCGAGGTGTTAACCAACCCCTCAAATTTATTGTTCTCCACTGTAAGTTATCTCCTGGACATAGCTTCGGTCACCATCATCGTAGCTTTGCAGTTTCCAGGTGTGTTCTTTGTCTCTCTTGCAACTAGTTTCTGCAATATTTTATCTCATGCTCTTCCTTTTGTTCTTTCTTATGATATATGGACAATATTATTTATGATTAGCATACTTTTTATTTTTTTCTGTTGAGAGATTTTGAAATGTATCAATTTCATAGCATTCTCAACCAATGCTAAAAGGATACAACTCGGTGGGTAGTTTCCAGTCGTTCGTCCCTCACCTAGCCATCTGTTAGTGCCAGTTTCCAGCCGTCCATCCCTCACCTATACTTGTTGGCTATACACACAGACACAGGTATGATTTTATTGTTTGAAAAATTTGATGCATACAACCTGTTTGTATTAATGGCTGAGAGTCCTACAAACATGATATTACGTGTGTTAGTCCGACACACCATAGCATGTGACTTAGTGGTAAATGACAATTTGGGTTGCATTGCAGGGCTGAGAGAATCTGACTAGTTCAACAGAGCTCGTGCTTGAAGCTTCAAGATATCCCGACACACCAGGTGCTGCACCACCTACTCTATTTGTGTGCTTTCTATTGAATGTGGCTTATCCTCTTGTTTTTACCCTTTTATAACCTTTTCTTTCTAGTTGATTCATAACATTACCGATTGCCGAACAAGGATGTGGGTGATAAAAGTTCTCTTGATTTAATTTTTCCTAAATAAAAACCCAACACAATAAAAATAAAATAAAAAAGGAATCAATAGAACATGATAAAATCCTCGTTGTTTAATTGGCTGAGTTGCATGTTCTTAAATGATCATAGGATTTCAGAACTAGAAAAGACTATGTCAATGGGATTACTCATTGTGCTGAACACTTGTATATTTATGTGCGTAATCATCCAATAAAGACTGCTTCCACAAACTATGATGTGAAGATCCACCTCATATGCAACGAAGTTCACACTACATCCTTTTTGTTCTTTTCATCATCTATGTATAAGTTGTTTGTTCTTTTTAAAATAATTGAAAGCAATATCAGAACAATATTAAGTTTAGATGATTGTTTAGATGGCTGATTCCAGGATCATAACTCACGAGTAATAAATAGCCATTCAAATAAATTTTTAATGGCTCATTGTTTAGATGGAAGGCATTTTTAATTATGTAGTGCTTAGTGCTTACTCTAGTCATTCAAATAAATAGCCAAAACTAATAAGGTCCATGTTTATTTTTAATTTTTTTCACAATCAAAAGTTAAAATCTTAAATCCATCTATTTATCAGTTGAAGCTCAACAGATTTATAATTTAGATTTGAGTGGTTTGGAGGCTTTTTTTTCATCTTAATTTTTTTATTATTCAAATGTGAGTGAAATCCCATTAGTTAGATTATGATTCCTGCCTTTGCCATTGCAATAGTTTCCAAAGAACCCCCAAGAGCTTAAGCTTAACAGTATATCGTCAACGTTTTTTGTCTTAGATGGGAGTGACAATCTGACCTATTCTATAATTTTCTTAGGGCATGTTTATGCACACTGCACAATATAGGATAAGGCACACACTTTTCTTGAATATGCGAATCTGTTGGGAGTGACACGTGGTGAAAATACACCGACATAGGAAATACTTTCCCACACACTCGTAATTTTCATTTTTTATATTTTTTTTACACCCAGATTTTCTTTTCTTTTTTATTTGTCTTTTTTATAATGAACGTTGCTTGTAAGCTGTGAACACAAAGCTGAAAGTGAAGGAGAAAATGACACGTCAGCAAACTTGTCAAAGAATGGATTTCCTTTAAAATATTAGATGAAAATTTTATGTCATATAAGTTGTCATAGTTCAATTTATTTTTTTAAATCGAAATGAATTAATTTTTGACATTTTATTTTTGAACTTAATACAAAATCTGTAATTAAGGAAGACAATAATCAATCTTAAAAAGAAAATCTGCATCAGTACCTTGGATAAAAACCAAACAGTCCAAATAACAGTGGTTTAGAAGATCCTTATTATTCCTTAGTCGTACATTTACTAGATAGACAAGAATTTTTATTAATCAGAGCAAGTGACTGAAATTAAGAATTTTGACAGCAAGTGAACTATGCTGGTGCTTCCCAGTGGAAACCTCATGCTTCTCCATAGCAGAACATTAATTTCCTCGATACATAGAGGAATCACAAGGCAAATGGGTTTTACTCGAACCCTCTGTTCGCACCATGAGGACCCAGAAATGAAAGACTTAATGAATTACATTGATTCCCTGAAAAATTATGAGAAATCAGGAGTGCCCAGAGGGGCAGGCACCGATTCTCAAGAGGGGTTCGATCTTGGTAGAATGAAACGCCTGATGGAGCGTTTTGGTAATCCTCACTCCAAATTCAAGGTTTGATTTATCTCTCAACAAATTTTTCATATGGTTTTTATTTTAAAGTTTATCTTTTTTTTTTCACCTATATTTTTTAATTGGACACCAGCTAACTCTCGAAGTTAAAACGAGCATGTTCTGGGTCATAAGGGCATTTTGCATTTTTGTAGTACTTTCACTCACTCTTATGCAGTTGAAGTAAGCAATAATAGTTGTTTAAATTCTAGGTTACTCCAATTATAGGCTGTTCATATTGCTGGGACAAAGGGAAAGGGATCAACAGCTGCTTTTATATCTAATATTCTGAGGGCAGAAGGTTATTCTGTTGGTTGTTATACTAGGTAAAGTTTCTTTATCATTGAAATAGGTTTTGCTTTTGTGTAACTGTTGCTACTTGCTATTTCGTTTGCTACAATAGCTTCTTTACAATTTGTACGTCATTGATGACAGGCTTTATTTTTCTCAAGCAGTCCACATATCCGGACTATCAGGGAACGCATTTTACTAGGAAGATCTGGGGATCCTGTCTCGGCGAAATTGTTGAACAATCTTTTTCATAGGATCAAGCAGGATCTTGACCAAGCAGTGAAAGAGGAAAATGGTTGCATAAGCCATTTTGAGGTATTGAATATTGAATCTCATCAACGTCTGAATTTTGTCAAGAAATTGTTGTGCTATCATAAGGAGTTGTTTTGATTAGAGTCCATGGATCAGTTGAAATTATAGAGATTTACGTAGAAAAAGAAAAAAAAGAGATAACAAACTATGAATAGTTGAATATAATATTTGTATATGGTGTGTAATGATGTGTTATGATGCAATACAGAAGTTAAAAGATTAAGCTCTGATTAGTAAGTTTATACTAATAGAAGACTCTTGATCCTAATTAAACAAAGAAACAAATCATGAAATACATATAATGAAGAAAAGAAGAAGTGGAAGAAGTGTTTTATCTGAATAATACTTTCTTAATTCATTGAGAGACCCAATGGGTCCTTTTTATATTGAGTACATCCAACTACCTCAACTACTACATCCAACTACCTCAACTACTTTAATAAATATACAACCACCAACTACATCAATAAATACACAACTACCAACTAGATATACAACTACCAACTACATCAATAAATACTATCTAGAATATTTTACATATTCTACACTCCCCCTCAAGTTGGGAGATATATATTGATCATTCCCAACTTGCTGATCAAATTCTCAAAGGTCGGCTTAAGTAATCCTTTGGTGAGGATATCCGCCGTCTGTTCCTTGGTAGGTATATATGTCAAGCATACACTACCGTCTTCTAATTTCTCTTTGATAAAGTGACGATCGACTTCCACATGTTTTGTTCTGTCATGATGAACAGGATTTTGAGTAATGCTGACAGCAGCCTTATTATCACAATATAATCTGATAGGTAGGGAATAAGAGATCTTCAGCTCCTCCAGAAGCCTTCGTAACCAAATTCCTTCACAAATACCATGGGCTAGAGCCCGAAATTCCGCTTCTGCACTGCTTCTTGCAACAACAGTTTGTTTCTTACTTCTCCAGGTCACAAGGTTTCCCCAGACATAAGTACAATATCCTGAAGTAGATCTTCGGTCCATTGCACAGCTAGCCCAGTCTGCATCTGTATAGATTTCAATCATCCTTTTGTGCCCCTTTTTAAAGAAAATTCCTCGACCAGGGGTATTTTTGAGGTATTTGAGAATTCTATAAACAGCACTAAGGTGTTTTTCCTTAGGAGAATGCATGAATTGGCTAACCATGCTCACAGCAAAAGCAATATCAGGACGAGTGTAGTTGTTTTATAGATTAATTTTTCCACTAGTCTCTGGTACTGCTCCCTATCAACATCTTCCCCGTCCTCAACTCCCATCTTGATATTAGCTTCAATTGGAGTCTCTGCCGGCTTGCACCCAAGCATACCTGTTTCTTGCAACAGGTCTAGAATGTATTTTTTCTGAGTTAAAGAAATTCCTTCCTTACTCCGAGCAATTTCCATGCCAAGGAAATATTTGAGAAATCCAAGATCTTTTAGTTCAAACTGGTCAGCTAAACATTTTTTTAAAGAGGTTATCTCCTCGCTATCATTACCAGTGACAATTATGTCATCAACATAAACGATCAGAATAGCAATTCTTCCTTTGTCGGAGTGTTTAAAAAATAAAGTGTGATCAGTCTGAGCTTGGGTGAACCCTCTTCCCTTAACAACTTGAGTAAATTTCTCAAACCATTCTCTGGGAGATTGTTTAAGTCCATAGAGAGACTTCTGCAACTTGCACACAGAACCATCCCCTTTTTCAAAACCAGGAGGTGGATCCATGTAAACTTCCTCATGGAGATCACCATTCAAGAAGGCATTCTTAACATCTAACTGTTGCAATGACCAATCAAGGTTGGCGGCAAGAGATAGCAGAACGCGGATAGTGTTAAGTTTGGCAACAGGAGCAAATGTCTCCTGATAATCTATCCCATGAGTCTGAGTAAATCCCTTAGCAACTAATCTGGCCTTATACCTATTGATGCTATTGTCTGCATTGAATTTTATTGTGAACACCCACTTGCAACCAATAGTTTTCTTTCCTTTAGGTAATGTCACAAACTCCCATGTTCCATTTTTTGTAAGTGCATCCATTTCTTCTAATACTGCATTCCTCCATTTTGGGTCATCAAGTGCTTCTTGGATATTTTTGGGTATCCTGGTACTATCTAACATAGTGTTGAAAGCACGAAAACCTGGAGACAACTTTTCATATGAGATATAATGGGAAATAGGATGAGCAGTGCAAGATCTAGTACCTTTTCGAAGAGCAATAGGCATATCAACGTTGGTTGTACTAGTACATTCAAGTGGGTTGCTGGAACAAGGACTCGAGTCAGGATCCTGGCAGTCTAGAGTATCTTCATGTGTTTTGCGCCTGCTGTAAAATTTTCTCCATTTACCAGGAGGATCATTAGATTCAGGTATAGTTGCTCCCCCTGTTTCCTTCCCAATAACTCCACCTGTTTCCAAAGGCCAAGGTAAGACAGCAACATCATTTGGTTTCCCAGGCTTATCTTCATCCATACCAATACCAATAGACTCCCCCTGAAGAGAAGTTGGGGAAAAAAAGGATTGTGTCTCATAAAAGGTAACATCCATGGAAACAAAAACCTTACGGAGAGAAGGTGAGTAACACTTATAACCTTTTTGATTAGGGGAAAATCCTATGAAGACACATCTGATGGATTTAGGGTTAAGTTTGGACCTTTGATGTGGAGGAATATGCACAAAAACCACACAACCAAATATTTTGGGAGGAAGAGAAGAAAGAGCACTGAAAGAGGGAAAAGATTTAGTAAGACAGGATAAAGGAGAATGAAAATTTAGTACCCGAGAAGGCATCCGATTAATGAGATAACAGGCTGTCAAGACGGCTTCCCCCCACAGATATTTAGGGACATGCATCGTGAATAAAAGAGCTCGAGCAACTTCAATTAGATGTCTATTTTTCCTTTCAGCCACCCCATTTTGATGAGGGGTGTTAGGACAAGAACTTTGATGAATAATTCCATGCTGGTTTAGGTAATCTCCAAGAACTGAATTAAAATATTCAGTACCATTGTCTGTTCGCAGAATTTTGATAGAAGTCTGAAATTGAGTTTGAATCATAGCATGAAAGTTTTTAAAAGTGGATGCTGCCTCAGACTTATCTTTTAAGAGATATACCCAACATACCCTAGAATGATCATCAATGAAAGTAATAAACCAACGAGCACCCGAGACATTTTTTTCACGAGCAGGTCCCCAAATATCACTATGAATCAATGTAAAGGGAGAAGATTCATGATATTTCTTAGGAGAATAAGTGACACGAGAGTGCTTTGCAAGCTGACAAATATCACAAAGAAGGGAACTTGGCTTTTTATTGATAAATAAGTTCGGCAATAACTTCTGGAGATAAACAAAATTTGGGTGTCCCAACCTACGATGCCATAACAAAACATCATTACAGTCATCTGATAAACATAGAGAGTGGTTCGAAAAAATCTTCTTTTCACAATGAACATCTGTTAAATAGTATAGCCCTTCTTCCTCTCTAGCACTGCCAATCATCATCCCCGAGTCCTGTTCTTGAAAGATACAAGCATTTGCAGAGAACTTAGCAACACAATGCAACTCAGCAGTAAGTTTGCTAATAGAGATGAGATTACAAGTAAGAGAGGGAACATGAAGTACTGAGTTCAAAATAATATGCTCAGAAAGTTTAATGGATCCCTTTCCCGCAATAGTGGAGAAATTCCCATCAGCTGTTCTTATTCGTGACGGGTGATAGTAAGGGGTATAGGAGAAAAATAAGGTTGCATTACCTGTCATGTGATCAGAGGCCCCTGAATCAAGGATCCAACGATTACTACGTTCAACATGGAATGCCATACCTTTTTGAGCAACATGACTAGTTGCCTCAGCAGGTTGAGACATCAATTTCTGAAAAGACGAATTTTCAAAATTTTCAACGTCCATGGTTTTCTAACAACAGGTACCCAGAAAAAAGTTCCTCCAAATACGATTTTGACCCTCAAAACAGGAAGAGGGTTGCTCGCAAAAATCAATGAATGAGAGCAATCTTGGCTACAGTGAAACAGTAATTGCTACAGTAATGAACAGTACTGCTACAGTAATGAACAGTACTGCTACAGGTCTTCTGTGGGCTGGCTCAGAATCTTGTTCTGAACCTAATGGTGGCCTTGGTTTCGTGGTTGGAGGTGTCTAGATAAGGATTCTGGCTTGGGCAGTGGCTAAAACGAAAAAAAGGAATAGGAAAATGACTTAAAAATAAATCAGAACGGGGAAGAGACTGGAATATAACCAGCTCTTGATACCATGAAGAAAAGAAGAAGTAGAAGAAGTGTTTTATCTGAATAATACTTTCTTAATTCATTGAGAGACCCAATGGGTCCTTTTTATATTGAGTACATTCAACTACCTCAACTACTACATCCAACTACCTCAACTACTTTAATAAATATACAACCACCAACTACATCAATAAATACACAACTACCAACTAAATATACAACTACCAACTACATCAATAAATACTATCTAGAATATTCTACATATTCTAAATATAACTATATGGAAACCAATCCTAAGAGATAATCTAAGATACTCTAAATTACTCTAAGATACAAATCAAGACATTAAAAAGGACAAACCCCAGTGCACAAGTCTCCTTGACTTGTGAAAGTAGGGGTGAAGGTCGATTGTACGCAATCTTACCCTTGCATTTTTGCAAAGAAATTATTTCCCAGACTTGAAACCGTGATCTTCCAATCACAAGGTGTAACCTTATCATTGCTCCAAGGCTCGCCCTCTATCAAGATATTATGAGATATTTTCGCATATTCTAACATAATCAATTGAGAGTTTGGGACTTTGCGTATTCAGTTTTATTGATTGCCTAGCTCCCGTCTTTTGGAGACTGTTCCATTTCTTTCTTGTTATTGGTCAGCCTTATTACAATAAAAATTAATGAAGTTAATGTTTCATTATTTAGATATTTCTGCTTACACTTTCATAGCATTCTATTAAAATCCGGGTGGATATTTTGTATTTGTTTACTTTGTGGTTATATGGCTATTTCATGTATCAGAAATTGTGCAATTCACAAACTTTTGTATTTGGTAACTTCAATTACTTATGGAAACGTTCCAGGTTTTCACTACGATGGCATTCATCCTATTTGCTGATGAGAACATTGACATTGCTGTTATTGAGGTTAGTCATCTATTTCACTTCATCCAACAACTGCTTTATACAAATTTGATATAGGGTGATTCTTCTGATTGCACTGTTGTTACCTCCCCCAAAAGAACCTTAAGTTGATATTAACTTTAACCAGCCTCGCCTAGTGGTTGGGGCTTGGTGGTTGTTGTTTATGTTTGGCCTTTTCTTATTCACATTTAAATCCAAAAATTGCAAGATGGCCTAAACTATATTATCTTTATTTTTATTAAATTCTATAGGCTGGGTTAGGGGGCACACGGGATGCAACAAATATTATCTCCAGCTCTGGACTTGCTGCATCAGTCATAACCACTGTAGGTGAAGAACATTTGGCAGCTCTTGGGGGTTCTTTGGAAACTATTGCAATGGCAAAGGCAGGAATCATAAAACAAGGCCGCCCAGTTAGGTGTTTCTCTCTGTTGATCTCATTTACATATTAATGTGCTTTACTGAAATTGACAAGGTATAGTCCATTTCTCACGGACATTGGTACATTTTATAACTACAATTTTTTTTGAGTAAATTAACAAACTTTGATCCAATTCTTATATACATGACAAGATACAGTATTAGCTGCACCAGTATTATCTAGTCTTAATGCCATTACTCAATGTTTAATCAAAAAAATCATATTGTATTCAAATTAGCAAGAGAGGATGTGACCTCTATTTTCAAGAACTATCATATGTTTTGCATGTATAATTCTAGCATTTTCTGATTTAAAACAGGCCTGCCAAATTATGGTTGATGTGAAATATTCTTTTTGTTTGCTGTTAATCTAGAGTCAAGTAACCTTTTCTTAGACAAAGATATTCTAAAACGTTAGCTAAGTGTGAAATCGTGCATGTCGTGCTATGACATCTGTAAAACTTCGTTCTTTTCGGGATGAAGGTGGTCATTTCTTCTACTGATTTATCCTTGTTAATGTATAAACATATTATGAAGTTTCATTCATCAATTAGAAAACAAAATATAAATGAATTATTTATTTTTGGTTGGGTTTGGGACTTTTGGTACAGAACTTTGTTCTTTAAAATGTTATTACTCTAATATTGACTCTATTTTTTCCTTTAATTTTTGCTGACTAAAAAAATTCATTTCAGTTGGTGTTGGGTGGGCCATTTCTCCCTCATATTGAGCACATCATTCGAGATAAAGCAGTAACCATGGATTCACCTGTAGTGTCAGCATGTGATACAGGGAATAAATGTACTGTAAAAAGTTTCAGCATACACAATGGCAGGCCTTGTCAAATTTGTGATATTGTGATACAAGTTGTGAAAGATTCGAAACTGGTATGAACTTGTATTCTTTAGCTTTCAGTGTTTGTTTAGATAATGCAGTGTATGGGGACATACGTTGGAGCTGGCTGCTTTTGATGACCTGTGGGCACTGATTGCTTAGGATGCATCTTATAGACTTGGTTTGCAATTTTGGAGTTAACGTTGTTTAAACCTGACACAATCAAGCACCGTATGTGTTGGTAATGATTTAGCATAACAAATTTTATTGTGAATAATAAGGTTATCAAATCGCAATTCAAATCATGAATCGCCAAGCTAATTTTTAAATCGTGAATTGTATTGAATCGTAAGATTCAATTTCACAATTATAAAGCTAAGTTTTGAATTGTGAGCCGCATCTAATTGTGGTATTGTACGTTCCCATCTTTTTCCTGTGCGAGATCGTAATTATTTTACTCCCATTTGTTTGCAATGTTGCTTAAGATAACATGTGTTGATAATGGTTTAGCATAAGTTTTATTGTGAATAATAGTTGACAAGAGGCAGATGTAGGCCGAAGCTTACTTGGGGGAAAGTAGTAAAACAAGATTTAATGGAGTGAGATATAGATTGGCGGACAGTATGTCTTAGAAAGGAATGGAGAAAAGCTATAAGTATGGTGGAGGGTTAGACCCGCTGTTATTCCTATGTTCCAGATGGTCCCTTTTTAGTCATTTTCCCCTTCATTTCCCCCACTTCTTCTTGTCCCTTTCTTTTTTACTTTTATTTATTTATATATACATATATTTTTATTTTATTTTATTTTATTTTATTTTATTATTTTATTTGTGTATTTTTATTTATTTATTAATTTATTTTTTATTTTTTATTTTTTATTTTTTATTTTTTTATTTTTTTTTATTTTTTATTTTTTATTTTTTATTTTTATTTTTATTTTATTTTTATTTTATTTTTTTACTTTTTTTTCAACCGTTTTGTATCTTTCATGTGGGTTCATCTACCACCGACCCCAATTAATTTGGGATAAAGGTGTTGTTGATGTTGATGTTGAATAGTTGACAAGAATATGATTACGTGTTATTAAAGTAGGGAGTATAGTAGTATAACCTAGTAAATAACACACTTTTGAACTCTAATTGTAGTATCGTACATTCTCATCAATTTTCTCTGTGCGAGGACCTGATTCTTTTGCTCCCATTTGATTACAATGTTTCTAAAGATAACATGTGTTGATATTGGTTTAGCATAACAGCTTTTATTGTGAATAACAGTTGACCAGAATATGATTATGTATTACAAAAGTAGGCAGTCTAAAAGTATAGCCTAGTAAAAAAACTCTTGATTTTGAATTCTAATTGTAGTATTGTACATTCTCATCTTTTTGCTTTGTGTGAGGTCCTTATTGTTTTGCCCCTATTTGCTTTGTGTGTCATGGTATCTCATGTCTTATGTTGTATTATAACTTCTGAATGTTTAAAGAATTTGTGCACCCCATTTCTCTACCACCTTGGTATGCTATTTTAACAAGTTTTCTGTCTACGTTTTCATTGTTGATCATGGAAAAGTTTTATGAGCAACTTATGAATATAGCTATTCATGTAGTCCTGTAAGTTACTTGATGTGAAGCTGCAAATGCCTGGTGGTCACCAACTTCAAAACGCAGCAACTGCTACTTGTTTGGCACTGTGTCTTCGTAATTTAGGTACTACTTTTCTACCTTCTGCTTGGCCTTACTCTAAATGTGTGCCTTTTCTTTACTTAGATGAATTGAATTCCTATTCTAGTTCAGAAGTTACTTGAGGTTCAGATTTGTGGATTACTTCTAGTGAAGGTTTCTGTGAAAGTTAAAAGGCCTTCATCTCTGCCAAACCTTAGACTAAATACTTGAGTGGGGTATGTGGTATAATGCATCTTGCGTTTTTTTTAGACATAACATCAATTTTTTTTTTACTGCTCTAATGTAGTTGTTTTATAGTTTTTCCCTTTGGTCCATTCTCTTTTCTCATTACGACCATGACAAATCAAATCAAAGTCTTTGCATTGATTTATATTAACTTTTTTTTCTTTTTTCTTTTTGGTGATGTGACTTCCCCTTCATTTTCTCGTTGTTTATTGGATAATTAGGATGGAGAATTTCTGATGAATCTATTAGGTCTGGTTTAGAGCATACATATCTCCTTGGAAGGAGTCAATTCCTAACATCTGAAGAAGCTGAGGTATTAGGACTTACTGGAGCAACAATATTACTGGATGGAGGTTGACTATTCTGACTTTTCTTTTTGTTACCATGTGATAAACTGGTGACTTGAATTTTTTCAAAAAAGTTGGGCTTAATTGGTTCTGGAAAATTTCTAGAAAAACCACATGAAATTTTTGGAGGAAAAAAGTCTTGAAAATTTATATAATTTTCTTTTCCAGACTGGACACATACTTACTTAATATTTCATGTAGTCCTGCTCGACTCTATAATTTTTAATGGTATTGAGGGAATAGCTAAGAATTTTCTGGCTTGGTGCCACAAATACATCAGAACAAAAGTTTTGATTAGTTGTGCGATGTATGCTGTAGCCCACACCAAAGAATCTGCCAAAGCACTGATGAATACAATAATGATGGCGTTTCCCAAGGCTCGATTGGCATTTGTTGTTGCAATGGCAAGTGACAAAGACCATGTGGGTTTTGCTAGAGAGATTCTGTCAGGTAAAGTATGTTATTTTGATGTAATAATTTTATCAAAATATCATGTTAAAATAGAAGGGGAGCCTTGGCACAATGGTTAGTGTTGTTGCCATGTGACTCTCAGGTTATTAATTGGACAAATGCATAAGACATCAAATTGGTTTGGTTCCTTCAGACCTCTAAATTCTTGTGCATGCTTATAATGCCATTATTGGTAAAATGATTTACCCAATAACCTAGAGGTTTTTTGGCATGTCATTTCCGATTGATTGCTGGTTATCGATGTTGTTTATCTTGGTTCTTACATAATATTCTAAGGGTTTTATAAGAGTTATGTTGTAGGAAAAGTGATTGTGTTATGTTATAGAGATTCGTTTTGCGTGCCGGAGGTTTTTTTTTTTTTTTTTTCAAAAACTGCGAGCCCCACAAAATATTGTGTGTGTAAGAAACTTTTTGTGGTCATGTTAAATGACGAATGCACATATTCTAAAATGCAATATTTAGTTAAGCCTATTAAAGTAGTGTGTAATGACGGGTCTAAATGTGCTACTGCATTTGTTCAGGGCTGCACGTGGAGACTGTTCTTTTGACTGAAGCTGCTATTGCTGGAGGTGTAACTCGAACAACTCCAGCTTCTTTGTTGAGAGATTCTTGGATTAAAGCTTCTGAAGAGCTTGGTGTTGGGATTATTCACGATGGAATGGCAGAATACAGTGAATTATTAAAGGATCAGCCAGTAAGCTCTGCAAGCAATTTGGGTGATGGTAAGACCATACTGGCTACTGAGTCGTCTTTGAAGGGTTGTTTGAGAACTGCTAATAATATTCTCATAAGAAGCGGGAATGAAAAGGGTATTATTGTCATCACTGGATCTCTGCATATTATATCCTCAGTCTTAGCTTCTCTCGATGGTTAATGGCTTTTTATTATGAAGCTACTCAAACCGAATTTCTCAGCAATTACAAACCAAAAGTGAAGGCCCAGTAGAATCCTGAATGGCTTTATATCAACATTCCACAGCACTGTTTCTAGGCTTCATTTAATAAGTTATAATTACTGTGCAACAGTTCTCTAGGACTGGAATTTTGGATGGTGTTACATAAATGATCAACATTCAACAGCAATGTATTAAGTCTAGAATGAATATTTTATGGTCTTATCCGAGGCTTCTCTTGGAGCTTAATCAGCTTAAATTAATGTTTTTAAAATCAGGTCATTGAGCGGATGAAGGCACTGCATCACAGTTCATTGTTCTGGTGGTTTGAACCGGTGATAAATAGAAATATATTAATAATATTATGATAATCTAAGTAAAAACTTAACATAAATTTATTAGATATCAAGTTAGGAGAAATTTTAAATTAGCATAAAAGGATCATATTATATGTCCCGAAAGATAAAAGAAAAACAATATTAAGGCTAAATAAAAACTATCTAACAAATGTTACATGCATTAAAGTAGAAAAAGAATTATATTAGTGTTCTGAAGTTTTACATTAGACAATAAATAAAAATATTCAAGTATACTATAGGCATAAAGCTAATATATATATATATATATATATATATATATATATATATATATATATATATATATATATTGTGTGTAAGCTATGAAAGGTATGTACTAAAAAAACAAAAAAAATGGCTCCGAAAGGAACAAGCCATTTCTTACCTTGCTTAGACTGAGAGGTGGTTTTTCACCTGTCCATTGCTCCTCTAGTTTTATAGGTTGAACAAGTTGAACAAAAGGATTTTATTAATCTTATGCAATAGGAGATAAATATTTTCATATTATAGAAATAATTATGTGTGCGATCCATTCAATTATATAAAAAAAAAAAAAAAAAAAAAACAACACGAAAATCGATGATGTGTAGAAGAAAAAACACCCTTCAACAATATAAGAGTATATTTTCCCTTGAACAAAGGATAGATTTATCAACTTTTTGTTTAAACCAGACCGTTCAGGCTTATTTTTTAAAAGGGAAAATATACTCTATTATATTGTTAAAGAGTATTTTTCTCTTTTACTCATATATCAATTTTGATTTTTTTATATAAATGAATTGGTTCTGTTAGAGAATAATATAAATCATTAAAAAGACCCTTACCCAACACCTTAAGGTTTTGGGTTGAAGTGGTTCTTTACATGGTATCAGAGTTTGAGTGACTACAAGGTCACAAGTTCGATCCTCACCGCCCACCACTTTAAAGTGAAATTAAAATAAAAACACAAAAGTTAAACCAAAAATTGGCCCAGTGCAATATCCACGCTTCTAGCCCAAAGGGCTCTTGCGTGAAGGGGTATGTTAGAGAATAATATAAATTATTAAAAAGATCCTTACCTAACACCTTAAGATTTTGGGTTTTGGGTTGAAGTGGTTCTTTACAGGTTTCACACATAATTGTGTCTATAATATGAGAATACTTCTCTTCTATTGAATGAAATTGTTATGGACCCATATAAGGGGCCCATTAAGTGATAGGCCCAACAAGGGGCAATCCAAGATTTGAATCAGTAATAATCATGGATAGATATCCATCAAGGATACTAATCCTAATACGACAGCATAGCAAGCAGATATGGGCCCCTATTAGGGGCACCAAAGGCCCATCCATGCTACCGACATGTAACCTCTATAAATACAAGGTAAACCCTAAAGGTAAGGTGCACTCTCTCTCTTACTGTTATGCTGTCACTGTGCACACACACACACCCCATTGGCTAATGCCGTTATAGTATTCTGTGCACAATGATCTGCTTGACTCAAGGGTATCTCCTTCATAGATACTTTGGAGAGAGCACTAGATCCAAGATAAACATAACAGCCTATTGGGCTGGACATCTCTGTCCCAAGGACAGAACATTGGCACTGTTTGTGGGGAATTCTCCTTCTTTGAATTTGAAATTCCCACTAACCTGACGAGGGATGGCAATCCAAACGAGGAGCAGTAGTCAGCAGCCACCCCAAAATCAGAATCGATCGCTGGATCCGGTTCTGGAAGAGGTAAATCAGCCTCAACACCAGCCAGGAAACGACGTGGACTATGATCATGTCCATGTCAATGAGGACGTCTCAGACACCGCTTCAACTCCAGCGCGTCATGATAGGGGCGTGGCACCAATTATGATTCCAGTAAAGAATAACTCTCCCCATCATCCGAGGGATTTGACCGCACATGTGGCTCAATCGGCGGATCCAGATTTTCGGCTTGCCCAGAATGCGTTCGCTGCAATTATGCAGCGAATGACTGAGTTGGAAATCTCAATAACCTCTAAGGGCAAAAAGATTTTCAGGCGATACGGGAGGAGAACACCAGGGGAATGAGAGACCTGGAACAACGCTTGACGGGGGTAACCAGATCAGGGGCTAGGAGAAATGAAGGCCAGAATGCCAATGGCCGGGAAGGTAATCGCAACCTGGTAGTGCATCAGAATCGGATTACTGAGGAGAAAAACCGTGAAAGGCCCAATCTGGTGAACACGGTGAATCCGAGTTTGGAAAATCAGACAGTGGATGGTCAAAACGCTGTTGTGCTGACCTTACTCAAAACGGTTCAGCAGAAGCTAATGGGCAAATAGACCGGGATAGAATCCAACCCAACCAGAATGCACAGATCATCAGAGGGCGAGTGGAACCCAGTCAGTACAGAAGAAAATACAGTAGGGGGCAATATAACAACAACCCCTTCACTGGGGAGATTTTGAATGCACCCTTCCTAGAAGACTTTGATTTAGCACGTCTGCTGAAATATGATGGAAGTCAAGACCCACAGGTCCATATTGATGCTTTTGATACGGACATGTACATCCGAGGGATAGACGAGCCTCTTATATCTCGGATATTTGTCGTAACCCTGACTGGGGCTGCGCAGGCATGGTTCTCTACCTTACCTGCCAACTCCATTGGGTCTTTTGAGGAATTTGGGGAAAAGTTCCTCTTAAATTTTACAACAAGTAAGAAACACTCGAAGCCCGAGTTCTCACTCGGAAAGATAAATCAACAACCTGGAGAAACCCTCCAGAGATACCTAAATCGTTTCAAGGACGCTGCGTTGCAGGTGCCGGGTTTACAAGAAAATGTCCACGTACACCTCATTGTGGCTGGTTTGGATGGTACATCCAGGCTAGCCAAGTCGGTCTATAAAGACCCGGTGAAGACGCTGGAAGAATTCAAAACTCGTTTGAAAAAATACCTCAAACTCGAGCAAATGGAGATTGTCAATGCGCAATCTGACGAGGGCAAAAGAAGGAGAAGCCCGGCCCTAAAAGGAAAGGAACGAGTTGATAATAAGAAAAAGGAATCCAGGATCATAATCCCGGATGGCCGAGATCGAGTTGGGAGATTTGAGAAGTACACACCGCTGAATGCGCCACGCTATTAAATTTGGAGGGAAGTGGCGATGATGGAGATAAAGAAAGTAGAAAGACCTCGACCCATATTTGATAGAGGAGGTTTGGACAAGTTCAAGTATTGTGCTTTTATGACGGACCGGGACACACTATCGATCAATGATGGGATCTCCGAGATGCTGTGGAGAAATTCGTTAGAGATGAAAGGTTACGTCAGTACATGATCAAAACCCAGGGCTCTAAAAATAACAGAAGAAAATCGGGAAACAAAAAAAGAAGTAAAAGCCCAGTTCCTGAAAAGAAGAACAAGGAGAACAAGAATCAGAAAGATGATTCCACCCAGGATGAGTTCCCAGAAGCCGAATTTGACTGCAACGTAATTAGTGGAACCCTGGGGGAGGAAGAGACACTATCAGTGCTAGAAGAAAGTATTTGAAAGAGGTTCTCTTCATTCGAGATCGTCCTAAATTCAAGGAAGACCCTAGCAAACCAGAGATCCTCCTCTCTTGTATTTTACAAATGAGGACATGCATGGTGTGTTGCCAGGGCACGTAGACGGATTAGTCATTGCTGGAACCTTGGTAAATTATCGGGTTAAGAAGATTTTTGTCGATGCAGGGAGTAGTGTCGACATCATACTTTAGGATGCTTTAAAAAAAATGAACCTGGATGAGGAGGGTCTCAAGCCCTGCAAAACGAAACTGATAGCTTTTAATGGAGAGCATACACCTCATAAAGGCTACATCGACCTCAGGTTGACCTTGGGGACAAAAGAAGCGTTCAAATCAGAAAGGGTTAGATTCATAGTAGCTGATTTCCCGTCAGAATATAATATAATTCTGGGAAGACCAACCATACACCAGTGGGACATGCTGGTTTCTACAAAGCACCAGAAGATAAAAATGGTGAGCAGTAAGAATGAAATAATTATTATTTGTGGAGATCAAAAGGAGTCCAAGGGCTGCTACTTCCGTTAAAGAAAATGAAGGCGGATATTCGACTCCACCCCGGATTCACCCAGGGGATAAACTCGGCAAGAACACAATTCCTCAACACTCAAGGAAGTCGGTCAACGTGGTTGAACTAGACATGAGAGAGGAAGTAATCCGAGACCTGAGCCCGATGGAGAATTAGAAGATCTTGCATGGGGAAAAGAACCTGGTCAGTTTACCCGAATTGGTAAGACTATAGATCCTCGGATTAGGCAAGAGTTAGTCGGGTTCCTCAAAAGCAACATAGATGTATTTACCTGGAGATCATCAGAGATCCCAGGGATAGACTCGGCCTTTTGCTGCCACAAGTTGGAAGTTTACCCCGGATCCACACCGGTTTCTCAAAAGAAAAGGAAGTTGGGACCAGAAAGGAAACAAATCCTGGAAGAACATATGAAGGAATTACTGGATGCGGGATTCATACGGAAAATACAGTATACAACATAGTTGGCAAACATGGTGATGGTGAAAAAACCAAACGGGAAGTAGAGAGTCTGTACTAATTATACGGACCTGAACAAGGTCTCCCCAAAAGACTCTTACCCAATGCCCAATATAGACCAGCTGGTAGATAACTCGGCTAGATTTCAATTGATGTCTTTCATGGATGCATATTCTGGTTACAACCAGATTCCAATGTACCCAGGAGATCAAGAAAAAACTGCCTTTATTGCTGAAAAGGCCAACTACTGCTACAATGTGATGTTGTTTGAGCTTAAAAACTCAAGGGCAACATATCAAAGGATGATGAATAGGGTGTTTGAGGATCAGCTGGGAAAAATATGGAAGTATACATTGACGATATGATCGTCAAGTCATTTGATATGACAAACCATGTCCAGGATCTCGAACAAACTTTTCAAAAACTCAGAAAATATCGAATCCGTCTAAACCCTGTAAAGTGTGCCTTCGGAGTCCCAGCTGGAAAGTTTTTGGGTTTCATGTTAACCCATAGAGGAATTGAAGCAAACCCTGACAAGTGCAAGGCGGTACTTAACATGAAGGTGCCATAGAATAAGAAGGAGGTTCAACAGTTAACCGGACGATTAGCTGCATTAACTCGGTTCTTGCCAAAGTCTGCTGAAAATGCCCTCCCATTCTTTAAACTGCTAAAGAAGGAAGCAATAGAAGGCTGGAACCCGGAGTGTCAAGTCGCGTTCGAAAAAATAAAAAGATGTCTCGCAACTCCACCAGTGCTCTCTAAGCCAGAACCATGAGACATTTTAATCTTGTATCTGGCTGTGGGGAAAGAAGCAATAAGTGCAGTTCTGATCAAGGAAACTGATAAAAGCCAAGAGCCGATTTACTTTATCGGTAGAGCTTTGCAAGGTGCAAAGGTCAGATATCAAAGGCTAGAAAAAGTGGCTTTTGCTTTACTGATCACGGCTAGAAGGTTGCGACCTTATTTTCAAGGACATCAAATAATAGTCCGGACCAATCAGCCTATACGGCAGGTACTGCACAAGCCGGACCTAGCAGGACGAATGACTAACTGAGCAATTGAGCTCAGTGAGTATGACATAACATACGAAAGTCGGACGGCCATCAAGTCACAAGCGCTGGCCGATTTCGTAATGGAACTAACACCAATGAACCCGGAGCATAGTGAATCTGGGGATGCATGGAAGGTTTACGTTGATGGATCCTCCAATGATAAAAAAAGTGGAGCATGAATCATACTTGAAAGCCCGGAAGGAGTGACAATAGAGCACTCCTTGAATTCGGGATTCCCGACTTCGAATAATCAAGCAAAATACGAAGCTCTGATAGCCGGTTGATACAGGCTAAAGAACACGGAGCTAAGAGGGTGAAAATCTTCAGTGACTCACAGTTGGTAACTTCGCAGATAGAAGGAAAGTACCAGGCCAAAGGTCCTCTACTGATGAAGTACCTGAGTACGGTCCAAGAAATAATGGCCGACTTCGATGAAGTAAAGGTTACCCATATTCCTCGAGGGAAAAATTGCCGAGCTGATATATTGTCTAAACTGGAAAGTACCTGTAAATAAAATTATTATTATACTTTGTTATCTATCACCATAACATTTATTTATATATATATATATATATATATATATATATATATATATATATATATATTACTACTAATTTATAGTTTATTATTATTATTATTTTATTAATAAAAATATGGGGTATTACATTCTGCCCTCCTTAAAAGAAGTTTCGTCCTCGAAACTTAAGAGTTTGAGCTTCTCAATTAAACTAAAAGCATAAGGTTAAAGTTAATAAAAATATGGGGTATTACAGTACCAAAAACCCTGGCAACCACAGAACTGTGGTACAACAAAGCGTAACGACGCCGAGTTGCGTAATGGTTATTACCTCGGCAAATGACTGGAAACAACCCATAGTGGCATACCTTGACAAAGGAATATTGCCAGAAGATCGATTGGAATCCAGGAAGTTGATCCGAGATGCGACACAATATAACATTGTGAAGGATCAGCTGTTTAGAAAGGGTTTGCACGTACCCATGCTGAAATGCTTGAACTCGGAAGAGGCAGGATATGTTCTGGCCGAGATACATGAAGGAATCAATGGCCATCACATAGGAGACAAAACTTTGGCTAGAAAGGCCCTTCACTGGCCGACTATGCAGGCAGACTCTAAAGAACATGTCAAGAGATCCGACAGCTGCCAGAAGCATGCCAAGCTAATTTTATCACCACCTGAAGAGCTGAAATATATCTCGGCACCATGGCCCTTTTTTAAATGGGGAATGGATTTGCTAGGACCTTTCAAAGCTGCAGAAGGGAAATTAAAGTGGTTGATTGTAGCTGTGGATTACTTCACAAAGTGGATAGAAGCAGAAGCAGAACCAGTCACAACAATCACCTCGGCTAGAGTACAAAGGTTCTTTGAACGGAACATAGTATCCAAATTCGGGATACCGGGTAAGGTGGTTACTGATAATGGAACACATTTTGCTGATAAAAGGTTCCAACAATTGATGAAAGACTTGCAAGTCAAACATCGCTTTACATCTGTGGAACACCCACAGTCAAACGGACAAGCTGAAGCAGCAAACAAGGTAATCGTGGAGGGCTTCAAAAAATGAATGTTTGATGCGGCAGAAAGCTAGGTTCCGCAGCTCTACTATGTCTTTTGGGGATACAGAACGACTACCCAAACTGCAACAGGGGAAACCCCTTTTCGACTAACATATGGCTGCGAAGCTATGATCCCGGTAGAAATCGGAGAACCTTCTTGGAGGAAGATAAATAGCAGCGAGCTTTGTTACACGTCGGACACGTGTCCGACACGCTCGGACACGCAGTCAACTCTCTGACACTTTTTTTTTTTTTTTTAAATCTTAATTTTATTTTGTTAACTAAGTATAAAAGAAATAATTTATATATTAATTTTTTTCTGTTATGAAATTTGACATGAAAAATTAACATAGTACGAAAAATTATTTATATTTATGTTATGAAATTTAAATATTTAATTGGTTATATAACTTATTATGGACTCTTATATGTATTAAATATAAATTATATTATATATATTAAAAAATTTATTTAATATCAAAACGTTGTCCAACGTGTCGAAATATGACATTTTTTAAAATTAATGTGTCGGCATGTCGTGTCCCGTGTCCCGTGTCCGTGTCAGTGTCCGTGCATCATAGTGTAAAATTGTGCATATTGTTGAAATTCGTGAAACGCTGTCGTTGTTCATGGAGCTTCAAACCCTTGGCGACAAAAAGCTGAAGAAGTTGGCGTTTAATCACGTTGTTACAAGCATAGGTCGCATGAACGAAAACCATAAGGACGAAGCGAAGAACCGAGCACTTCAGAATGTCCTTTTTACGATGCTACAGGTTTGTGAATGTTTCCTCATCCTTTGGTTCTATTATCTGTGGTTTCAAATGAGGGACAAAAACAATGGGGGATGCCCTCCCAGAATCTAAAGATGGAATTCTTTCAAATGAGGACTTTCAGAGGATCAAGGAACTAAAGGTTCGTTCATTTCTTATTCAGTTAGCTCAACTTCTAACATTTGTAGCTTTTAGTCTGTTGAATGTTTTTGGGTGATTTATAGGCACAAAAAGAAGTAAAAACTGCATTGGTTCAGCATGGGCTAGCAAAATCAGCAACAATTAAGGTTCCAAGCGCTGATCAGCTAAGTTTAAAGCGAGTGGATGGTACCATGCTTGAAGTAAGTCGTTTTAGCTTGTTTAAATTGTTTTGTCCGCAATCCATGCCAAAAATAGAAAACACAAGCCTTTGATTAAGCTGAGATGCATTTCTAAATTTGCTTTGAAAAATCTTGTAAACTTTTGGTAATCAAATTTATGTGTTCATACCATCTAGGCTCATGTAAGGAAAAAGGTATGTTTGTTGCTATTTCTTGCATTTTTCTTCTTTTTAAAAATAAATAAATATGTATTACTTTGAATTGCAATGGAATGTTGCTTTAATCCAAGGTCTCTGCATTCTTTGGTGTCTTTCTTATGCATGTTTTAGTTATTTTTAATCTTCATACCAAACATGGACATCTTGAATTTCTCCAAATGGTGAAGGCCACAGTCGATTCTCCAAATGTAGTAATCAGGCTTCACATTTCTTATGCATATATATTACATGAAACAGAAGTTAAATCGACAAACAAGGCCTTACTAGAACTACTCAATATTCCCAAAATAAAAATTATAAATAAAGTATCTAGGTTGTGTGAGTTGAATTGAAGTTATGTAAGTGGAAAGAACTGCTTTACCGTTGAAAGATCCTTATGAACAAACGGGTATTTTTTTTCTTGTGAACAGACGGGTGGCCTAAGCAACAGACAAAAGGAGCACAAGAAGAAAATGCCTCTGGCTGCTAAGAGAGGTAAGGTAGCAAGATCTCGGATTGAGAAAAAGAAAAAGAATCAGCAGTCTGGCAAACAGTTCCGTGGGAGGAAAGCCTGGAAATGATTAGCTACAAAATATGGTTTCGCATTATAAACATAGATTTTTTATTCTTTGGAAAGAACCTTCTTAGCCCCTTTTCCCAATCCCACCTCTTCATCCGGTTATAAGTTAAAATCGTTATATATATATATATATATATATATGCGTGTGTATAGAAGCTGAGTTATGTGGCTATTTACAAGGTTTACTCCTCACCTAGTTCTCTTTTGTGATTCACAAGAAGCTTTATTGTGCATATCTGAAAGGACAATAACTGATGTTTTTCCTCCTTGGTTTGCCACATCAGATATACTATTCAAAAGCTGCTTTGTGTGCATATGGAATATCTTCCCAGTGAAAACAATGTATATGCTTATAGTTTAGCTAAGATGGGGCTTGCTGCCTCCCCTCAGAGCCTTTTGACTTTTTTTGGAGCCTCGTAGGAGCTCTTTTCCTATTTGGACTGAAATTAGTTTTAGTCTTCTGTTATATTTTGTTGATTCAGGTCTACAGAATCTTAATTTGTGATTTTTATTTTGGGCTGTTTTGGCCCTCCACTATTATCCAAAAACAAAAAAAATTATATTTGGATGCCTGGGTCAATTAAAAAAAAAAATTAACTGTGTAAAATAAGACAGAAAATTAAAAATAAAACCATTATGTATCATTAAAAAATAAAATCATTTGGCTTCATACGATATGAGGACGAATGTGAATTAACAAAAATACAATACATTTTAAGGCAAAAATTCATGATACATTTTAGTTAACTTCATTCAAAAAAATCAAGAGTTGTTCGAAAAATGTGACAGCACTTAGTAATCTCGTAATAAATTGCACCAATTAGTGATGTTATGCAAAAGTGAATATTATAATGAAATGCAAGAGAGAAGTACACCCTTTAGTAATATTACAATATTCACTAATGTATAACGTTTCTAATTGATACAACATATTAATAGATTACGTAATGGAGGGTGTCATTTTTTGGACAACTTTATTTTTTTTAACATTTCATAAGACTCTTGCATAGTTTGTAAAAGATTTCTTGCATATTATTCTTGATTATTATATTTCAAGAAACACATTATTATAATTTTGTACAAAATAGAGAAATTGCTTATCTTATGCATTTTTTGTGAGAACTTATATAATTAATAGACAGTACAAGGAACAAATATGCAACAGCATAAATTACTTGCGGACATTAATGACAAATACCCCAAAATGCGCAGGCAGAAGAAACTTTAAGGACGCGAACACTTACTCTGAAGGGATCTATTTATAACTTAACCTACATCCAAATTCACATTTAGCAAAACATGAGATATTTGACGGCTGTGAGGATATTCAGTAGGGTGTAATCTCTTTCTTGCCTGCATTATGAATCAAGCATAAGTTACCAGCATTTTCAAGAATGACAAACTTAAATTATATAAAATAGCATAAATCTTTAGCCCCTATATTCTACTCTGAACAGTTTGCTGATGATGGTAAACCAAGCACAAAGGTAGGAAATGCAAGGGCATCAAATGACAAGTATATGGGGGGTTTTTACAATCAAATGGCAACTATATCATGCCGGGAAAAAAATGTTATTACAAGGCCTTGTACATATTGACAGTATGCAAACTATTTTGAAGAAAAACAAAAGGGGGCTACCAACACCTGGAAAAGAAACAGAATTAAAACTGATCTAGCATATTCCAAGACACTCTAGATTCAAGGATCGAGAGGCATGAATGAGCTGTGCGTGAATTACCTGTCTCTGCAACTGTTCAAGTCTAAGTTTCTCTGCATTTGACAACTCATATTCTCCATTTTCTAAATATCTTTGATCTGGTCTCAACCTTGAGTCAGTTGGAGGTAACTTCCCCAACAAACCAGGCATTATTTCATTCAAGGAAATTGCAAAAGGAGAGAGCTTGTATCTTGTCTTCGTAACATAGTTGTCCCTTTCCCACAATAATGCAGCTTCTGTCATTGGATCATAACCTTTTGGCTTTGTTGTTGGATCCCCAAGGACATAGTACATTGCTTCATCCCACTTCCCAAAATAAAACGTTTCTTATTTTCCCAGACTTTCCATTCACAAAGGCAAGTAGCAAATGACGTCTTTGCTAGCTAGATTAGGTCCAGCTTCAGTAAATTAACTTCCATTAGATTATATTCTTCAAGCAGTTCATGTTATTGGTTCTTTAGACCAAAACGGCATATGTTGTTGTCCTGCACCAACTTATCTTCATGTCCAAAATCAATGTGACCAGATAATGAAGCAGGGCTAGTAACATAAATAAATAAGTGATAGGTTAGCTTTAAGTTAAAACTTCATGTTTTCCAAATATACAGATTTATTTTTTTTAATCTGAGGAGATTATAGAATATCAGGTTGTCATCTAAAGCTCCCATTGAATCATATGACTATAAGAGATGGATGCTGGAACCACAAAGTTACAGAAAAATCAAGTACACAGTCTACAGTTTGGAACAAGTGCAAATATTCATCATAATGTTCCCAGTTATGAAGTTACTAGTTACCAATAAACTGTCACAGTAGTAAACCCCATTACTGAATGATACATAGTTTATTTCCTGCCAAATATAAATGAAAAAAAACACTTTAGAACAACTTTTCACCCTATCAGTTGTCAACTACTACGAAATTCATCATCAATCCTAAGTCAAGAGAAGTTCACTTTCTTCCAAATGGACCAATATAAGTCAAGTCAGGCTGAAGCTCTGGACAATAGAAATAGAAACTCTCTCGCTGCATTTCTATAGTAACAAGACAGGCATCTGGAAATTATGCATGGGACAAACATAAAGCCTATCAACCTGTCATCTAAACTAAAACATCTCTTTTAGTCCTTTTTGAGGTTGCCAAAATAGTTTTTGTACCTCTGTGCTAACCCAAACATGCCCAACGTGCCTCCACTGTGAAGCATCACCACTTCTGATCCTCCTTCAGCTTCTTTGCCAGAGAGAAGCATTGCTGTTTCCCAAGCAGCCAATGTGTACACGGGATCCACCAGAATTCCAGTTTGTTGGGCAATTTTCTGACATGCTTCCACTTCCCCTTCCAAAACATTACCAAATCTAGAATTTGCAAATATGTGATTGAGAGGGACCAGAACAAGAGTCAGAGATACATACTATAAATAGTGATTCATATAGTTCCTTACAACAACTGCTTTTTCTCTTTGATATAAAGATAGATAGGCTTGACTCCTGTTAAGTGGCTATCAACATCTTTATACCCAGGTAAAAAAAGAAAAACTATAACATCTTACTTTCTAGGATGGCCACGTTCCACCCAATGCACAATCCCAGCATTTTCTCTTTTTATATTGTGATCAATAAACTCAACATTAAAATGCTTCTTGAATTCAGAAATCAAACGTTCCTCCTGCTTTCTGTACCCGTCAATTTTGTCAGCCAGCATGACTGCATAAACCTCCCATGGGAGTCTGCATGGAAGCAACAAGCCAACAACTGAGATTACCATGATTTAATGTTGCCTTTCTTATATGCTTCAAAACTCAAAAAAACATGAATATTTGTAGTAAAATTATTCAAAAACAAAAATGGCAAGCTACCAACTGAACCGCACCCTAAGCAAAGGGCTGCAAGTCCTAAACCAACAGCTGTTGTGCCAGTACCAGCATCTACAACAAATTTTATGGCCCTTTGTTTTCCAAGTAAATGATTCTGTGATAAGTATTCCACTAACCGAATAACACCTATACAAAAAGAAACAATATTTTCATAAAGTTTTTGCAACAGCTAACCATTAAAGTTAACTAAATTTAAGCACCAACTTAAGGAAATAAATGAAATGAATATATATCAATATATGATTTTTTAGAATAAAAAAAAAAAAACTAGAATTTTGAACATGAAATGATGTCAAGATGTACGTTTTCAAAATATACAGCCAGACAGACAAGACAGTGTGATGAACAGCTAAATCAGTAAATTATATGAATATACATGTCAGGCAGAAGAGAAGCCATGTTTCACATACATGCACAGATGCATATGAATTTGCTGTCCTTTTAAACCCATTCAATAATTATTTATGCATATGATGTGTAAATAAGATGCTTGATTCTTTGTGATAATACTAGAATCCAAATCTTACCGTGTATTAAGGTTTTACTACATGTTCATGAAAATCAAGAAATATATGTACACCTGAAAACACAATTTTTTTTTCTAATAAAACACAAATGATTTTTATCTAGGAAAATATTCCTAAGCAAGACTCCTGATTGCTCAAGCCCAATTCTACTAAATTTTTACCAAGTTAAAAGAAGATGTTCCTGAAGATATCATTGTTGTTTTTCTTTCAAAAAAAAAAAAAACTCTACCTTCTCATTACCTAGTAGAGCAACAGAATCACCTGCACCTTCATTGACAATTAAAATTTTTCTTAGATGGTTTCCCTCACTTCCACTTTCATCCATTTGCACAAAATTTGGAGAAGTAGACAATTCAGTAGTTGAAGAAGCTTGAATGATATCATTGAACCATAGGACAGAACCATTGTTATCAGCCACCGAGTTAGCATAGCACTTTAGCATGTCTTCCCTGTTGGCATAAATGGTTCTTGGAACATATGTGACATTTCCATATATTGTAGACATCAAGTTATAGCCAGTCAAGATTTCAGGCTGCTCTCCTCTTAGAAGCAAATGTGACAGAATTCCTTTTTCAGCACACAAAACAGCTGCAAAATATGCAAATCATGATTTGGAAAGAAATAGCCCTACCAAAAGCATACTTCACTTCTGAAAACTCAGCACAATTTTAACCATAACCAAGAAAGTTACCTACCAATAGCAGCTGTGTGAGCACTCTGACAACCTCCGCATGTAACCTACAAAATGTCCCATTGAATGTTATTTGATCTTGGAAATCCTAAAATTATAAACATTGTGTGGTAATAAAAACACTAGGAGTACAATAATTAGGAACAACTCAAGGACACTATGAGTGAATACCCTATATGGCTGCAGGAAACAACAATCTAATATAGATGCAGATATGCACCCACCATCCACATATACTACCTTTTCCATTGCTTTACACTTTAAGCTGTAACATACATAAGTATATACTACACACTAACATGAACATCTAATAACAGCAGTATAGCCTTAACTACTTATAAATAATAAAAAAGAGGAAAGTTATACTTACAACCTATTTTCATTTACAACATTTTACAACCATATCTTAACCGTTGATTTCTGTCAATCAAAGGTTATCATTTATTGCAAATTAATAATTAATTAACGAATTTGATTTGCGAATATAATAACCGTTGATTAGCGGAAATCAATGGTTAAAATATGGTTGTAAGAGGTTGTAAATGAAAATAGGTTGTAAATATAACATTCCTCTAATAAAAATGACTACAAGAAAGAAAAAGTTTAAAACTCAGGTCTGAGACTAATACTATATCCTAAAAGAACCATGATTTTATTAATGACCCCTTTGACTGATAATGAACTTAATACTCAAGATAAATTTTGGGGCCAGACAATGTTATCAGTTGAGAGAATCTAGTTTGCAGAAGCCAATAAAACGAGCTACCCAAAGAATGGTTCAAGGAAAAACTAATTATGTTAAATATTATAGCAATCGGTTGATGGATAACTTTACCACATCAGTCACTGAATAATCTTCAATGAGAGGAAGTAGTGCATCCAGTTTTCTTGCTTTATTGCCATTAACTAGTGGGTGCAACAAATCATCCCGCACGATATAGAAGCTATTCCTTTGTTTATTCATCTCCAACAAGAAGCCATCACCATAAGCTGGATGCGTGTTCAATAGGAAATTAGAACCATGCGATCCATGTGTATGAATAACTTGGTGAATTTTTGTTTCAGGGCTTAGCAATGTCCATCTTCTGTTTAGTAGCTTTTCCATAAACTCATCACTTGTGAGTTTTGGTTTTGAAATGACCTACCAATGGGGAACACATTAAACATAATTCTAGCCCCTGCCATCATTCTTGTAAGATATCAAAGACTTAGGAAACAAATTACAAAGCAAATTCAAATTAAGTGAAAGATAGATGCATGAAATTGAGATAAGACAGAGGGTAACAATTTTATCCATGTTATTATGATAGAAAATTAACAAAAAAAAAAATGAATAAAAGGAAAAGGGCACCTGAAGGGTGTTTGAATGAAAAGGGTTTGTGATGGCGGCTGAAACATGCTTACTAGGAAGATGTTGAAGTCTCATATCATAGTACTTCACACAGTTCACAGTTGAAACCTCAAACAAAGGTGGAGTCACTCATTCATTCCTTCACACCTTATCTTTTTCACTTGGGTTTCAATTTCCCACGATAAAATAAGTTTTATTTTTTAATCAATCTTGAATAGATTTGATGTATATCAAAAATATTAATATATAATAACTAAATAAATAAGATAAGTAGAATATAATTGCAATTTGAAACTGAATATAAAATAAATTTAAATATGATAAATTTATTTTATTTTCTATTCAATCTGAAACATATTTAATATCTTTCTAAATATCAATAAATAATAAATAAAATTAATTTTAATTCATAGTCAATCCAATTGATTTCAATATTTTATTTACGTTATGTTATAATTCAAATAGAGCATTTATATATAAAAAAATATTTCTGATTTTAAAAATTTGTTTTGTCACACTCACGTAAAAATAAGTAGTGAGATCCACTCATTTTTACGTGAATGTGACAGCAAAAATTCTTGCAAAAAAAAAACAGAAATATTAAATCCTTTATATATATTTCTTATTTTATTGTAAAAATATTATACTTACAACTTATTTTCATTTATAACATCTTACAATCATATCTTAATCGTTGATTTTCGCTAATCAACGATTATTATTATCACAAACCAAACTCATTAATTAATTATTAATTTATAATAAATGATAATCATTGATTGAAAAAAATCAACGATTGATATATAATTATAAAGAGTTATAAATAAAAATATATTGTAAGTATAATCTTCTTCTTTAATTATATACTTTTTTATTTAAATTTTAAGTTATATATAATTTTGTCCCCTCACAAAATATTCTGACCCCACCTTTACCTAACAACATTCATGTAAAATAACATTTTTCATATTTTCTTTACAAATTCTTATCGGAATGCAGTCTAATAAAAGAAACAAAAATCTCTCTCAATACTTTAAATCTTTAATACTTCTTTAATACATAATATTATGAAAAGGGTACAATGCAAAAGGTCAAATGTCTAATAAAATTGCGAAAAATGTATATTATTTTGAAAGATATAAAATTGTGTTGTTTTAAATTAAAGAAAGAAATAAATCATAAGAGAGTAAATGGGTAAAAAAAGTTTTAAATATGTGGATCCCATCTTTTTGAAAGAGTAAAAAAATATAAGGTATGTCATTTAAAACGACAATAACACATCTTTTTACCATAAAATTAAGGGTAATATAATTTTTATTTTATTACGGATAACAATTTTCTGCCATACATGGAGAAATGTGTAATTTTTTTTTTTAAAAAAAAAAATAGTAAGCTCCACCTCTGAATATGTCGTTACAGGAAAGCAAATTTATTTTCAATAAAATGAAAAAAAAAATAAACCCAGGAAGGGAACAAAGAAAGTATAAACCCTAATAAGGCTATTTTATAATTTTTTAGTTATTGACATAAAGCAAAGTATAAATTCTTAGTACATTTTTTTCTGGCCCAAAAAAAATAAAAGGAAATTACCTATTTTAGGGAGAAGTTTTTTTTGAGCATGGATCATGATAGTCCTCCCAAAAAAAAAGAATTAAAAGAAAAGAAAAAAAAAAAAGAGAAATAAAAAAAAAACTTTTCATTTATGATAAAAGAAACCACTGAATAAGTGGTGGTCCTAGATGGTATTAAATATTTTTTATTTTAGGATATATTGCATTAATTGTAGTTTTTTATTAAATGAATAAATATTTTTTATTTATAAAATTCATATATCAAAAAAAGTATACAACATAGGGTTTTTGTTAGGGTTTTCAACCTTTCTTCCCCAACACACTCAACCGACGACGATCCATTCCAATCCAATCCCTATGAGTTGTCTCGGCGTAATGGCGGCGGATCCGCTTCTAGCATCGGGTCGGAGCTCCGAGATGCTGGACCTCCTAGCGCTTCAATCAAAGATGAAGTGCGACCCTGAAGGCTACGAATCGGAGCTACTGCTTCTCAAAGGTCAATTCAACTCGTTGCTGGAACTCTTTCAGCAAAATGCCGCAATGAACTTCACCTCCAGCATCGGCATCGACCGAGACTCTACCATCGCCAAAGAACTCAGCGAGAAGGCCAAAGTCCTCGCCCACGTCACTCCCTTCTACCCTAACCACCTCGCCGATTTCCCTCAAAAACTCGCCGATTTTCTTCGGAGCACCGCGCGCACTCTACCTTCGAAGCTTCGCTGCGACCTCACTAAATCTCATATCATGCTTATTAATCGAAAGGTTTTTGCGTTCGATTCAATTTCCTTTGTGAAAAATAGTTTAGTGTAGTGTCGTGACTTGATGTAAAATTGTGCTTGTGCAGATTGTTGAAATTCGGGAAACACTGTCATTGTTCATGGAGCTTCAAACCCTTGGTGACAAAAAGCTGAGGAAGTTGGCGTTCAATCACGTTGTTACAAGCATAAAGGACATGAACGAAAAACATAAGGACGAAGCGAAGAACCGATCACTTCAGAATGTCCTTTTTACGATGCTACAGGTTTGTGAATGTTTCCCCATCCTTTGGTTCTATTATACGTGTTTTCATATACTATTGAAAACATAAAATAAGTTAATCCAAATGCACTGTTCTTCTAACTGGTGAATGGATTTGTGTATTTGAATAGGAGGAGGATGAAGTGCGGGCACACAGGGCGTTTGAGACTCTACGTAAACTTCACCAGGGGAAAGTGTGGTTTGATGAGAGAACTGGAAATGCAATTTGCACTGCTTCCTTCCATCAATCATCGAGGTATCTTTATTTTTTGTTGGGTTATTGTTGAAATTTTTGTATCTTTGGCCTAAAGATTATGATTTCGTATTTGTGTCTCTCAGGATCATGAAAGCGGCTTTACAGTTTCTGCTTGGTTATGAGAAGATTGAAAATGCTGAAGATAGTGATGATTCAAGCAGCAATGATGAATTGGCCGAATCACCTCAAGTTATCCTTAGAAGGGAGGCTGTTTATAAGGTGAGGTTGAATGATAACCTTTGAGTTAACGGTGCTTTATTATTTTAATCAGTGGCTGCACACGCGTGCGGACGCACACCCACACGCACACACACAATATATATATATAATATATTTTATATATATATATATAAGCTGGTATGAAGAATGGTGACATTGATTTTCTGAGGACATGCTTGGGAGTTTTGAAGAGGGTGGGGTAGAGTGGTGTGGAATGGGATGGAGTGGAAAGGGAAAAAAGTACCACTCTATTGTTTGGAAGTGATAATGGTAATTAATAGATTGAACTGGATTACAAATTTAATTGGCAATACTGACCTTGTAGACTAACTATTATATGAGTTCATAACTATTACGTATAAAAGCTAATTTATTATTAAAAAAACATGTTTGACAAGAAAAGAATTCAGTTTTCAACTTCCATATTGAACTTCATGCAAGCACAAATAAACAAACGAATTAGGAAAATATATTTAGCACGCTTTAACAAGTTGGTCAATTTAACAAGTTGGTCAATGCAGTACTTGGTGTAGAATCAATGAATATAATGTCAAACAAGAAAACATCGATTACGGAAGAATTGCTTGGTTGCAACAGATCTCTGTTCTTGTGCAGGAGAGGGAAAATATGGAGATAAGACAGACATAAAGCTTAGGTTTAGAAAAATTAAAGAGAAAATGAGAAAGGAAAAAAGGAGTTAGGGTTAAATTTGTAAATTAACATTTAAAAAAGTGTTCCGTCCCAAACACCCAAATTGGAATGTTTGAGTCACAGAGTGTGTCTTGGGTTTCCCTCCTTTTAGCCATTTTACTCCATTAATGGATCGAGATTTTTTTACTCCTCCCCACAATCACTCACCACTCTATCCACCAAACATAGCCTGAAGTACCTCTGTACTTGCACCCATTCTTGTAAGAAGAATGTTATGGAACATTGAAACATGTTTGTGATAGTTTTTGTTGAAGTTTTTACTTAGTTGTCTATAATTGTTTGTCATTCTTACAAAATTTCAGGCAAACCACCAAGGAACATCAGCTAGCAAAAAGAAAAAGCAAGCAAAACTTCAACGTGCCGTACGCAGCATAAAAAAGAAGCAACGCTCGTCTGAAAACAGCAATAGGAATTATTATTCACCACTTAATCATTTGAAAGATGCTCAGGTTTGTAAAAAAATTTATAATCATCGTAGATACATTTTGGATTTGGATTTTATTTTATTGAATCAATGTCTTGATTTCATATGATATGCAGGGTTTTGCTGAGAAGCTGCTCTCGCGTGTTCAGAATTGTAATGAACGATTTGAGGTGCATACTCTGATTACAATCAAAATAATCAACATTCTTTTAATGTTGTAAATGAAGACATGCAGTTCCTTTTCATATTTTCTCATGGTTATTCAAGATTTCATATTTACTGGTTTCTACAATTACCCTCTATAAATTTTAGGTTAAGATGATGATGTTGAAATTGATTGCCCGAACAGTTGGACTTCACCGGTTAATTTTGTTAAACTTTTATCCTTTTCTTCAGAAATATATTCAGGTATCATTTGATAAATTTGGTGAATTTTGTCATTCTGTATATAACTGAAGTGTGACAATTATGATCTATGCATTATGCAATCAGCCGCATCAACGTGACGTTACAAATTTGCTTGCAGCAGTGGTTCAGGCTTGCCATGATATGGTACAGTATGCTTGTATTTTTTTTATCGGATTTGTTTTTATATTTAATAGCTTTTTCTTTCAAAATTTGATTCTTTAGTAGATTTTAGTATGCTGTTCTCTTATATTTTTCTCTTTATCCTATCTCACTCAAGCTGTTATTTGGGTGCAGGTTCCTCCTGATGTAGTTGAGCCCTTGTTCAAACAAATAGTAAATCAATTTGTACATGACCGTTCACGTCCAGAGGTATTTTTTTATTTTTCTTAACGTCTGATATATTGCTATATATTTTTATTTCCATGATAGGGGTACTCAACTTTAATATGTTAATGAGTTTGGTTGATCGTTTTAGGCTATCACTGTTGGACTAAATACAGTCAGGGAGATATGCATGCGCATGCCATTGGTAATTACTGCAATCTCCTTTTCCTTTGGACATATCTGCATTTTACTGATTTATGTCTTGACAAAATATATCCTATGTACCTGTTCTCCTTCATTGGTAGGTCATCCGTAAGTACCTTGTTTAGGACGCTTGTGGCATTGAACTTGGAATGGGACAACCTCCTTTGCTCCTTAACTTTTATTACCAATATCCTTTGCCTTTGTTAACTTCATAAACCGTATCTTTTGTGCTAATTTGATCTTTTGATTTTGGCATGTAGTTAATGAATGAAGACTTACTACAAGACCTTGCCCTATATAAGAAATCACATGAGAAGTCAATTTCAATAGCAGCTCGATCTTTGATTGCATTATTCCGAGAGGTGGTTACCCTGGCTCCTTTATGAGGGGTTGTATGCATTTGTTTAAAGCACAGTAACACTCATATCCATTGTCCACAACATCTAATTAATGTTGTTCATTTTCAGGTTTGCCCTTCGCTGCTAGTTAAGAAGGATCGTGGGCGGCCCATTGACTCTGAGGCTAGACCAAAGGCCTATGGAGAAGTCAATGTTGCCATTGATGTTCCTGGTGCTGAGTTGTTGCAGATTATTGACAATGATGATGAGCAAGAGAGTGATGATTCTGTATGCAGTGGCTCTGATGGTGAACAGGAAAATGATCAGATGAGTATCAATGATGATGAGAACCAGCTTTGCAGTGATAATACTGAAAGTGGTGATGATGATGAAGCCAAAGATACTGATGTCGGATCAGAAGATGAAGATGACCAAAGTTCTGATTACGAAACATATGTTAGTGATGCCGACAATGATTTTGAAGATACGGGGGACGTCCTTGAAGACAATGAACAGTCTGATGACGAGGATGGCGAGGTTTCAGAACATGAAGAAGATGACGATCTGCATACCTTTAGTGATGATGGAAGTGCGGAGACAAAAGGAATATTGAAAGACTCAGCAAAAAAAAGGAAGTTTACTGATTTTAATGGTCAACTTGTAGCTGCTGATACAAGTCTCCGGGCTTTGAAGAAATTGGCAGGGACAACAATGGGGGATGCCCTCCCAGAATCTAAAGATGGAATTCTTTCAAATGAGGACTTTCAGAGGATCAAGGAACTAAAGGTTCGTTCATTTCTTATTCAGTTAGCTCAACTTCTAACATTTGTAGCTTTTAGTCTGTTGAATGTTTTTGGGTGATTTATAGGCAAAAAAAGAAGTAAAAACTGCATTGGTTCAGCATGGGCTAGCAAAATCAGCAACAGTTAAGGTTCCAAGCGCTGATCAGCTAAGTTTAAAGCGAGTGGATGGTACCATGCTTGAAGTAAGTCGTTTTAGCTTGTTTAAATTGTTTTGTCCGCAATCCATGCCAAAAATAGAAAACACAAGCCTTTGATTAAGCTGAGATGCATTTCTAAATTTGCTTTGAAAAATCTTGTAAACTTTTGGTTATCAAATTTATGTGTTCATACCATCTAGGCTCATGTAAGGAAAAAGCTGAGCAAGGATGAAAGGTTGGCATTGGTTAGAGCAGGGAGGGAAGAAAGAGGAAAATACTACGCCCGAACTGCTGTAAAACAGAAAAAGGTATGTTTGTTGCTATTTCTTGCAGTTTTTTTTTTTTTTTTTAATCCAAGGTCTCTGCATTCTTTGGTGTCTTTCTTATGCATGTTTTAATTATTTTTAATCTTCATACCAAACATGAACATCTTGAATTTCTCCAAATGGTGAAGGCCACAGCCGATTCTCCAAATGTAGTAGTCAGGCTTCACATTTCTTTTGCATATATATTACATGAAACAGAAGTTAAATCGACAAACAAGGCCTTACTAGAACTACTCAATATTCCCAAAATAAAAATTATCAATAAAGTATCTAGGTTGTGTGAGTTGGAGTTATGTAAGTGGAAAGAACTGCTTTATCGTTGAAAGATCCTTATGAACAAACGGGTATTTTTTTCTTGTGAACAGACGGGTGGCCTAAGCAACAGACAAAAGGAGCACAAGAAGAAAATGCCTCTGGCTGCTAAGAGAGGTAAGGTAGCAAGATCTCGGATAGAGAAAAAGAAAAAGAATCAGCAGTCTGGCAAACAGTTCCGTGGGAGGAAAGCCTGGAAATGATTAGCTACAAAATATGGTTTCGCATTATAAACATAGATTTTTTATTCTTTGGAAAGAACCTTCTTAGCCCCTTTTCCCAATCCCACCTCTTCATCCGGTTATAAGTTAAAATCGTTATATTGAATTTTGATTATTTTGAGCAGTTTTTTTTTTTCCTAATTCATTATCATAAGCTGTATTACGTATTATTTCTCCTCACAATTCTCCGTTCAATGACAACTCAATAGAATGATTAGATTTAGCTGTATGATATGATTCAATGTTAATGGACAAGCACAAATGCAATAGAATCGGGTGAACCAAAGAGCAAGCGTTCCTTTGGAGTGCTGAGTTTTGAAATGAATTTAGCTGTTCTTTTATAGTATATGTATATTCTTTTGGTAAGAGTTGCAGCTTATCTATTTCTTTTCTTTTTGATCATCAACGTCAATAACATTTATAACACGGATTGCCAAAATAGATACTCATTTGAGAATGAAAGAATAGCCATATTCTCTGATGCCTGTTTACAGAAAAGGAATATTTTGAACTAGTATTAGAGGCTGGAAAAATTGTGAATCAACGCGGGTGATTGCAATTCTTTCTCGACCATTCTTGGCTAGAGTCGTAATTACTGACTGATTACGACAGAGACTTGTCTAGAGTCGTAATCACCGACTGATTACGACGGATACTCGTTGCTTATAAATGGAATATTATAGGTATTCATAATCTAGTTTTTGATAGTTTTGGGTATTAAATTCAACAGTCAAATAAAATAATAATGAATAAAAAATTTAACAATATTATAGGTATTCATAATGGTTATTCATTGAATATTTTAATTATTATATGTTTATTATAATGTACTATATATATATATATATATATATATATATATATTTGCGTGCGTGCGTATAGAAGCCGAGTTATGTGGCTTGGAAATTCAAGTGTTCTCACCTAGTTCTCTTTTGTGATTCACAAGAAGCTTTATTGTGCATATCTGAAAGGACAGTAACTGATGTTTTTTCCTCCTTGGTTTGCCAAATCAGAAATACTATTCAAAAGCTGCATTGTGTGCATATGGAATATCTTCCCCTTGAAAACAATGTATATGCTTATAGTTTAGCTAAGATGGGGCTTGCTGCCTCCCCTCAGAGCCTTTTGACTGTTTTTGGAGCCTCGTAGGAGTTTTTTTCCTAGTCTTCTGTTAGATTTTGTTGATTCAGGTCTACAGAACCTTAATTTGTAATTTTTATTTGGGCTGTTTTGGCCCTCCACTATTATCCAAAAAAAAAATTAAAATTATATTTGGATGCCTGGGTGAATTATTGAGGACAGAAAGTGGTGTACGGTGATCTGGGTTGAACGGTTCAAACTAAAAAAATTTAACTGTGTAAAATAAGACAGAAAATTAAAATTAAAACCATTTTATAATTATATCATTAAAAAATAAAATCATTTGGCTTCATACGATATGAAGATGAATATCAATTAACAAAAATATAATACATTTTTTTTACGATACATTTTACAATACATTTTAGCTAACTTCATTCAAAATATTATTAGAAATCATACTCGATATATATTGTATTGTAAACATTTTTATTTATAATATAGTATTTTTTATTTTTGCCTCCTTGAATAAATTATTGTATCCGCCACTGTGCGTGCGTGTGTACATTTATCTTTATTATGTTATTTATATTAAAGTTTTTTTCGTTAAGAACTTTTTTATAGCAATTGTAATTATTCATTATGGTTTTAAAGTCAATTTATTTACGCATCTAGATAATATTTATTAACATTATCTTATTTCGTGCAATATATAATAATAATAGTAATAACAATATTAATGAATTTCTTGAAATTATGCAAGAAGTTTATTTATAAAAAAAATCAAGAGTTGTCCGAAAAATATGACAGCACTTAATAATCTCGTAATAAATTGCACCAATTAGTGATGTTATGTATGAGTGAATATTATAATGACATGCAAGAGAGAAGCACACCCTAGTAATATTACAATATTCACTAATGTATAACGTTTCTAATTGATACAACATATTACTAAATTAAGTAATGAAGGGTTTGGACAACTTTATTTTCTTAACATTTTATAAGACTCTTGCATAGTTTGTAAAAGAAACACATTATTATAATTTTGCACAAAATAGAGAAATTGCTTATCTTATGCATTTTTTGTGAGAACTTATATAATTAATAGACAGTACAAGGAACATATATGCAACAACATAAATTACTTGCGGACAATGATGACAAATACCCCAAAATGCACAGCCAGAAAAATGCGCAGCCAGAAGAAACTTTAAGGACGCGAACACTTACTCTGAAGGGATCTATTTATAACTTAACCTACATCCAAATTCACATTTAGCAAAACAAGAGAAATTTGACGGCTGTGAAGATATTCAGTAGGGTGTAATCTCTTCTGAACATGAAGGTAAATCACAACTATGTCCAAATATATCAGGGATTCCATCCCAATTATTCTTTTCTCTTGCTTCCCAATAGCCACCCATATATCGGTAGGAACCATCCTCATCCTTCTTGAACCATCTGGGTTGCCATCCTCTTTCCTGCATCTTTCTTGCCTGCATTATGGATCAAGCATAAGTTACCAGCATTTTCAAGAATGACAAACTTATTGTATAAAATAGCATAAATCTTAAGCCCCCATATTCTTCTATGAACAGATTGCTGATGATAGTAAACCAAGCAAAAGGGTAGGAAATGCAAGGGAATCAGATGACAAGTTCAGGGAGGGGGGTTGTTTACAAACAAATGGCGACTATATCATGGGGGGGGGAATTATTACAAGGCTTTGTAAATATTGACAGTATGCAAACTATTGTGAAGAAAAAAAAAGGGGGCAACTAACACCTGGAATAGAAACAGAATTAAAACTGATCTAGCATATTCCAAGACACTCTAGATTCAAGGATCGAGAGGCATGAGCTGTACGTGAATTACCTGTCTCTGCAACTGTTCAAGTCTAAGTTTCTCTGCATTTGACAACTCATATTCTCCATTTTCTAAATATCTTTGATCTGGTCTCAACCTTGAGTCAGTTGGAGGCAACTTCCCCAATAAACCAGGCATTATTTCATTCAAGGAAATTGCAAAAGGAGAGAGGTTGTATCTTGTCTTCGTAACATAGTTGTCCCTTTCCCACAATAATGCAGCTTCTGTCATTGGATCATAACCTTTTGGCTTTGTTGTTGGATCCCCAAGGACATAGTACATTGCTTCATCCCACTTCCCAACTAACATTGCTACCTTCTCTCCAGTTCTATTGTCTTGAACAAACCCATGGACCTGACATATATGATTAAAAGATCATTCAATCTTATAAACTCAGAACAAGAAAAGCAGATTGATCAATCCAAGCTACTCATTTAATTTGTTAAGTTTCTAGCATAAGAGAAAAGCCAGAAAGTAATTTAACCGAATACATTTGTGCTATGATAAAACAAAGGAATATAAATTCTGAACAAGGAAATTTTGCTAACTGAATTGGAAAGTGCAGCAGGTAAGAAAATTCTGCTAGACTTGTATTCTCTTAGGGTTCATTTGATTTTGAAAAAAGTATAAGTACTAGACAATAGACAAAAGACAGTTCAAGGGATAGTACAAAACTCTCAATTTCTATTGCCCACTAAACTAGAAGTTACAAATTTTGTCTACATAACAAAGAGAAAAAAAACTAATAAACCATGTATCCAAAAAAAAAAACTAATAAACCCTTCATTTTCCTAACTCGTGCGCCCAAAATAGTGTGAAAAAACAAAGGATACCATAATAAATTTTGTGTTATTTTATCCATTACTTGTGCGCATCAGACGGTAGATATCACAAAAATTTGTCCAATGCATTGGTCATTAAACAGTTAACAAAAAAATTGTCATGTAACTCAACCACTCGTGCTGTACTGTTGTTTGTACTGTCCTTTAATATGTGCATCAAAGGCATCCTTTGGGTGACAACTTACATGGTACTGATTTCTTTGCCACTTCATTAAAGATAGAATTTCAATAGTGAATTTAGTGGAAAGATAAAATTGGGATTGGTGAGAAAAAAGAAAAAATAATAAAGAACAAAGTTGTTTTGTCAAGATCAAATAGAGGAAAACACAACATATTTCAAGAAAATAGTTTATTTTTCTATCAAACGAAAATAACAAACAGTTCCTGCAGTCTCTATGTCATAGTTGCATTCATAATCCTACCTGATGTGGATTTCGGTCTATGATAGATTGCTCTTTGAACTTCAGTTTGCAAGAGTAGTTGCCACTGCCCTTGATGTGCATGGTACCATAGTGGTCACAATAAATTTTACCTAGTATGATATTGTATATGGAAGTGGTGACCTTGCTCCACTGAAATGTTTCACCATCCTCAAACTGTAGGGTGAGTACACCCACAGGATCTAACTGAATGGAACGCCCCCAGAATTTTCCTTTCAAATTGGAGTCTGCCCAGAACTTCCACCCTCTTCCCTCACAGTGACAAGCAACAATCATTGGATGATGACTAACCTGCAGCAAGCTTCTTGTTAGATGAAAACTAGCAAGCATAAGATAGACACAAAGCACTGCCATTTACAGATTCAATGAGAAAGGCAATAATGAAACAACAAATTTATGAGTTTCCCTATTGTTGTATTTGCCTGTAAATTTTGACACATTACCAAATCAATTACCTTTTCAGAAAAAAACCTAAGTCCTTTATCTGGATAGTCAGCTTCATAAGTCTCCCCGAGCAAAGGATTGAAAGGTTTACACTGCCGACCTTCAGTTGATGAATAGCCAGACACAGCAAAAGCTACAACATTCATAATTCTCATCAAATCATTCCCCTGCACCATGCAAAACCCTGATTCAGGTCATAATTTTCAAACAATGCTAATCCAATAAATTAAAAGCATATAAAGTAAGCATTTAAAGTCTGATACTGAATATCTTTTTCCTTTGTCAACTTTCTTCTATGCTAGTAAAACTCGGATGATAACACATTCCACATCAAACTAAATTGTAACAGGCCATAGCAAAGCATTCTTTGTATGGAACCACAGTCCCGTAAAAATCAGTGTCAGAGCCTATCCTTTAGCAAGAATCCTATCTACTCAAGTCTCTGACATCAGTGTCAATGTCCAGTTAGTTCTGATATCTTAGTTCAAGCAATGTGTAATTAATCGTATTAAAATTTTATATTCATTGAAGTACTTTTAGGTCCTGTAGCAATTACAAGCCTACATGATATCTGGATATGGCTAATTACATGTCCACCTCTTTTTCCTATCACTGCCTATTTTTCCTACCGATGCAGCATCTGCTTAAGCTCAAAAACGATGAAATCCCACCGAGGGCTGTAATCCATGATCGCTGGTCAACTTCTTCAAGAACACCAAATTCTCTATTTCTCCAGCAAGACAGACCAAATTGTTAGGAGCCCAAATACGGATTTTGAGTTTTAAGAGAGATGAGAATACGGAGAAATGAATAGAGAAAAACTACTCCCATAGTGTTTATTGAATTACAAACAAAGACCAAAGGAGAGAATTCTCCTTTCAAGGATTTCCCCTTTCTACAATAGAACAAATCTTGAGTTCCCAAATGATAATAAATCCAAACCACTCTTCTACCCTGTCCTCCTATTTAAGCTAAATCCCTACCTCTACAACTTTAACCACCTGATTAATCTAACTAACTACTCTCTGGCCCTATAATAACACAATGCAACAAAGCTATATTATGCTTCTTACAAGCCCTTATTCGACATATTTGAGCTATTTAAAGAAGAATAACATCAAATAGTAAGTAACTTTAATGAGTGTAAAGCAGGACACACTGACATCAAGAAAACCAAAGCTTAAAGATCAAAATGTCCAAGCATACTGGTTCACTTATTATAGCTACAGGCTAGTTGTAATATTTGAAATATAATGAGCTTAATTTGATCAGAAATCCCATCAAGCCCAAATTCATAACTTCGAAGGTACTTGTCACAACCAACAAGCTAGGTAGCTAACCTTCAAAAACACTCCTGCCTTTACAATATCCCATGAATTACAAATTTATACCCTTAATTTACCCAAAAAAATCCTAAACCAAACCCAGTAATCCTAATGTTTTGCTGTCCGATAGTAGCTGAGAACAATTTTGAATCTATATGCACTGCCATATCTATCATTTTGTATCTCATAAAAACTCAAAGCTATAACCAAGCCTTTATGAGCAGGCAAAACCATAACAAGAAATACAAAACAAAAAGTATTTTTTAGTCCATGGTCCAAGTCTAACAGTGGAGTGGCCTGACAGCAATTGTCTAATAGTCTATGTCAGAGAAATTAATTTGTTTCTTCTTGTGTAACATCTATATAACTGGCAACTCATTAAAATGGCATTAGAAAGCAATTCAAGAAAACAAGAGAGGGAGACTAAATTTTAGAAACAGAAGTGCAGACAAAAATATGGAAACTTTATTGGAGAATAATTTGGTAATTACTACAAGCACAAATTTGATGGGCCAAAATATTAGACCAATGAATTACAACCACTAAAGTTTAGAACAAGTTGATTGGGTACAAAATACAAATTATCAAGCTATATGAAATGTTGAAATCTTTACAAGCGGCAATTTCCTTAAATTTAACCAAGCATGTTATCTGACTTGATAAAATAAATCTAGGAGATCATGCTTTTAAAACTGCTTTGTGACCAAAAAAAGAAAAGCACGGATAATGCCCTGACCTGTTTTCCCCACTCCGATGCTCTATCAACCAGGTATGAATACTCTAGGTCTTCAAAACACTTTTGCAATGAAGAGAGTGGTTCATTAAAATAAACAGGGAGACAAACTCCAGAAAGATCCTTCCCAATATTGTCTTTAATAATTGACCACAGGCCGGCGGGCTTCTCTTTCTCTTTTGGCTCTGGTAAGTTATCTCTTCTTTTGACATATGGATAACTTACATCTTTGATCTCCTTCTCAAATCCATGCAAACCATCATAAAGACTATTATCTCTATCGTATATACTAGCATTTCCCATGCCTTCCCTACTTCGGTAGGAAGCACTTCTTAAGGCATCTGAATACAAAACCTCATTTGTGTCAAAGTATGTTCCATCATCATCATCTGTTTCAAAATCTGCTCCATCTTGACTTTCATTGTCGGCTACTGAATCAGTTGCACTGCCCTCTGACATGACAGAATAGAAATCTGATACATGGGGGAATCAATGAGTAAGTAGACAGCTGCCGACATGAAAACTTCAAAACAACTAGTTGGTAAAGCAAGATACAGATACTTCATTAACTTCCTAATGCTTCATACAAGATAATCTACCCGGAATCCAACGATGATTCACATGATTGGTAGTTTTCAATCTCAGAATAGCATTAATGTTGAAAATTTAGACTTGAATTTAAAATATATGGCCAGATTAAACACAACTATCCAAATTGGCATTCATGTTGCCTTCTTTGCAAGTACAGATATTTTAGTGGTAACTTAAGGCAAAAGACATGACAGAGGAAGAGTAACAATTTACTCACCACTAAACCTTCTATTCCCTTGTCCACAATAGGACTCACGTTCCTTTGTTTCATCCACTACAGTAGCTTCCAACTCTATTTTCTCCGACTGCATTAATTATTTTTAAGAGAAAAATCAAACCATTGACTACTAGAATTCTATCATTTAACATGGCATTGACCGCACACACAGGAGCAAAATGGAATGTAAATTGAATAAATTCCACGCAAAATTCCAGAAGACCAAATGTAAGTATTCAATAAAAGGGCCGCACATCAAAGTAACATATCACTAGAGAAATAAGTCTTCTAGTTTGCATTACTATAAAGAGTAATACAGTGCTCTTTTTCTTATATTAAGAGGAATACAGTAATTGACCAAAGGGCATGCAAAATCTAAGTAATCCAGGTGAAGGCTGAGCATGTCCATGGCATGTCATTGACAGAGACATTACTTTACGCTACTGAGGGATGATCAACCAATATATCCTAATCCTCAGTATGTGTTGTGTGGTATAAAATGTCCATAAAATCCTTCTGCACATTTTGAATTGCCTAAAACACTAAGAAGGCTAATATAGAAATGAAAGCCACGTAAGTGTAAACATTCAATGCTTCGACCATTAGGTTATTACTCCCCACAATTATATTAAAAACACAAGCCATACAAGAGGAGCTAGGGAAAAGTTAAAAACCAAATACAAAAAACTGCTTCGTAGCCCGGTCAGATAACCATTATCATGTTATAACCATCCAAGATGAAACTGCAGCTTATTAATTAGGAGAAAATATTCCAAGATGTGTTTCAAAAGGAAAGACTGATACCTCCAATCGTTTTAAGGTGTCCAGCAACATAAAATGTTTCTGCTGAAGAAACTTCAACTTGCCTTGAAGATAAGAGACTTCAGAGAGCATAATAGACTCACAGTCATTGATTATTGCTTCACTTATGCCTTCCTGTGACAATCGTAAACGCAGCTTCTCAGTTGAAACAGCAATATCTTCTGAAGTTGCAAGATCGCCACTTGTTAGAGCTCTAGGAAAAAGATCCTTCGCAGACTGCAGGGCCTCAACCCACAAGGCTCTGTCTTCTCTAGATACACAACGCAAGTGAAGAGTTTTTGTCCCAGTAAATATGGAAAGTCGCTTATCATCAGACTTGCTGGAACGAACTGTAGAAACCTGTGAACAAGACATATTTAGATTTAGCACTAAAGAAAAACATTGAAGAGCCCAATATTTCAAATACATAAGTGACAGATATAACTTAACCAATAATCAAATTTAACACAAATGTCAATGACATGGGCAAATAAGTAAGGATGGTTTCATCAATATTTCAAATACATCACTGCCCAGTCGTGGTAAAAAAATTGATAAACCAACGATAAAGAATATATATTTCAAACCGTATGATTCGATACGAGGATTGAACGATATGTATTAGAGACATATCCATGTATCAGAATGACTCAGAGGCTACGTATCGGAATTGGCCATGTATTGGAACATGAATCGCCGAATCGTGAGATTCATTATCGTATCATGATATCGAAATTTGCAATTCAGAATTCAATCAAGATTTGTGATCTCAGATTTGGAAATAGAAACGACTATAGAGAATTCAATCCAATATGATTCAAAAGCGATTCAAAATTCAAATTAATACGAATATGGAAAGTCACTTAAGATCAGGGTAACAAAAACGTTCAAATTCAAATTAATACATTAAGAAAAGAAAACACTAAAACAATTCCACCCTCCCCAAGAATTGCGACTCGCAAGATTCGAACCCACTACCCTTTGGGCAGGTCAAATCCATTTATTCAGGTGATAAGGAGCTTGTTCCCCTTAACCAGAGGTCTCGAGATCAAACCCTAAGAATAGAGAAAATGGTGAGAATCACTCGTATAATAGGTCTGACAGTGTTCGAATCTGACTAGTCAAAGTAATCAATGAAACGGTTGATATATTCTAAAAAAGAAAACACTAAAATAAATACTTCCAGTTTCAAACTTTCACGAAAACAAAGAACAACTAAGAAAATAGAAACGTTCAAACTAAGTACAAATAATTTTTATAATATTTTTAAATATTTTTGCATTATATTTCAAAATCTTACGTTTCGATACGATTCATAATAAAAAACCATCGAACCATTCACGATAAGTATTGCAATTCATCGACCTTGTTTTAAACATATTTTTCAAAGTCCATGCATGTTTGTATGCAAATGTAAAAGTAAGGTGTGTGCGTCAGTTACATATGTTTCATTGAATTCCCAAGCGTTATTCGGCATGTCAGCAATTAATGTCGCTTTGACCTTTCAACCCTTCCCCTATTGCCCCCTTCCTTCAAATTTTCTGGCAAATTGGACCAAGCAGCATGGAGAAATTCATAAAACTTCACTTCATACATATATTCATAGCTAAAGCGGGTGATTTAAAATTTGATCAAGTTTGAACCAAAAAAAAAATCTCATCAAATAATATTTAATACAAGAGAAAATAAAAACAAAAACGATTGCATGAAACACAAAGCAACAGAAAATTTATAGAGTAAAAAAAGCATTTCCAATGTTCTAGTGCGTGTGATTGGGACCAGAAAAAGCACTGCATCAAGGACCTTACGCTTATAGCACATAGATTATAGATTATAGCGAGAAAGTGCGTAAAACATTAAACTTTATCGGCATCTGATAACATAAGAACAAACCTTCAAATGTATCTCACCGAAGGGCTTGCATTGCTTGGTGCCTCCTCCTACAGGCACTCGATTCAGGTTCCAATTCGCCTTCTTAATATACTTCGTCGACTCATCGCCGATCACCCTCACGCTCCTATCCCTAGCAGGACTCATCGAGATCTTGTCCGGTCCATGAATCTTGTAATACGAAAGCACACCATCTTCAAGCACGAACCACCTGGACCTCCAACCCTTGCCGTAATTCACCCACTTGTAAAGGATCCCAGCCACACTTCCGGCGACACCACCGCCATTGCAGCCGGCGAACACCTTGGAATCCCGAGGCTCGCGGACGACCTCATCGCCGTCGCGATTTCCAGCAGCGGCGGAGGACTTGCCGGAATCCCCACCGTGCGACGAGTCCTGCGTCGAGAAGCTCGAATTTGTAGCGTAGTTCACCGCCCTGACGGACGAATCAACCCCTGACTGGCACTGACCATGCGATTGCGCCACCACAGTGTTCGACCGGTCCCGATCGATCGAAACCGGAGCAATGCAGCACAGAGGATTCATAGTTCACTCAAACCAACACACACTCTCTCTCTCTCTCTCACACACACACACACACACAAGAAGACAAGATCGAGAATGAGAAGTTGAGAACCACCAAATAATGAAGAGCTTCGATTCGCGACGGTTTGATTAGGATTGAGATTCAAACGAAGAAGCTGATCGTAGATTCGAAGCGATTCGAAACGTTTCGCGTGAATGCGATGAACATAAAGGGTTTTAGGTTTAGATCAGAAGTGAGAAGCGTAATATAAATAAAAGGAAAAAAAAAAGTGAGGTACAGTTATTGTTGTTGTGGCAGGCTATAAAGAGCTGAACCGCTACCTCACACTGCGCAAACACACAACCATTTATGGCACTACTCACTGAACGTAACAGTCTCTGTTTATGTGTATGTGTGTGTATGGGTGTAGCTTCTCACTCTTCCTCTCCCTTTCCATTCCCATTCCCCATAGGCTAAACCAGAACTAACCCATTATGCCGTTTAATAAATGCATGGTCTTCGTTTGGTTTCCATTCCTTTTATTGAATTTCTTTCTTTCTTTTTTTTGAGTTATTTTTTGATTCAACACTGGCGAAGTGGCGAGGGTGGGGGGGGACAGCTAACGTGCGCACTTGTGCACAGTTAGTGATTGAGATTTGAGCGGGGGGGTGGGGAAGGCTGTGTCCGTTGGGTGAGGGGAAAACACCGCTTTTTTTCTTTGGGCCAGGCCCATGCCAATGATGAGAGAGTTAGAGACGGGGTTGTATAATGACTTTTTTGCACTTGGGTTTCTCCTGTTGATAGCGATGGGAAGGAAGGGTGTCTTTGTAACTTTACGGGAATGAAAGCGATTGTTGAACGATGGAGTTGGATATCGATATCCGTTGTGGTCGAATTGAGGGGGGAGCTTTCGGTGGTCGTAAAATATCACACGATGCCATATGCTGAGAAGACCTAATGCCCTGTTTGCGTTTGTCAAACGGGTAATATTAATATCCATCATGGAACATGCAGCAGGTTCAGCATCGTTTAGCGTTGACAAGTTAGATCCCATCACTCTCATTGGATTGAATGACTCTTGGACCCGAATATATATATATTCGGGTTTGTCTATTTATAGTTTGTCTATTCTCATGTTGTAGAGAGCATATCTTATGCTAAGACACAAAATGATGGGATCTACCACTAAAAAAGAGAAAAAAAAAAAATAACAGCACACTTATTGAAATGTCTATGATATAAGATAATAGTCTCCTACAACATGAGACTATTATTTCCCATATATATATACATATATATATATATATATATATAGTTTAATTGCTTTTTGGAACATTGAATAGCACAATGACAATTACCTAATTTAGGAAGTTTATATTAAAAAGTTTTAATTATCAGATACAAGTGACGAAGCTGTTATTCCTTTTTGACAAGGAATTCCGCATTATTCGTACATTAATTGGAGTTATCGGAGCGAACAAGAATCATGCACTGATGGTACGGTTTCAGGATTGGGTTCAATACAAGGTCTGTGGCAACTGGGTGACAAGTTATTTGTGAACCAAGAATTTGCAACAACAAAAATGTCTAAATGGCACTTAAGCACAACCTGATTAGGGAGCATCAAGAAGCAATTGTAATTGAGAGCATGCATGCAAAGTTATCCATGAAATGTTGTGCGTATGATAAAGGTTGATCGTGGCGCGTTAAGGCGATCAAACCAGTGTTTGGTGAAAATTTGAAGATTACGAGATAGGGTGGAGATTACAATTGTTTGAATGAGCACATTTCCCAGGGACATAGACAGCTCGATGCGGACATTATTGCGGAGCTCGTTCTAGGTACGTATTTATTTTGTATGACATGTCAACGTTTACGTACTGCTGTGTAATTAAATTCGTTCAATGTTATCGAGTATTTGACCTATTTAATGCAGGGATGATAAGGGAAGAACCATCTGTCTCAATTTCTTTGGTTCAAGAAAGGATAACCTCTAAATATGGCTTTAAAGTTTCATACAGAAAGGCATGGTATGGGAAGCAGAAAGCGATAGCAATTATGTACGGTGATTGAGAGGAATCGTATGCTTTTTTGCCAAGGTGGTGCAAATACATGCTTCGCTTTTCTCCAGATTCATTTTATCATATCCAAACAAATAATTTTTATGCGGAGCATGGGTTAGTTACTAGAAAAAAGGTGTTTCATCGCATTTTTTGGACGTTTAGACAGTGTTGTGAGGCATTCAAATTTGCCAAACCAGTGATACAGATTGATGGAACGCATTTATATGGGAAGTACAAAGGCAAATTGTTGGTGGCCACAACCCAAGATGGAAATGATGAATGTTTACCGATTGTTTTTGTCATCGTTGAAGGTGAAACCTTGGAAGCATGGGACTATTTTCTTGTTAATATTCGTGCTCGTGTTACTGACATGTCAAACATATGTCTAATCTCCGATCGTCGTCGTAGCATAATATCTGATGTGGAGAATAACCCGAATTGGTTGCCACCAAATGCATATCACGTCTTTTGTATTTGTCATATTGCAAGCAACTTCAATCAAAAGTTTCGAAATGAGGGTCTGAAGCGGATGTTAAAGAATTTAGGTAAACTCATTCACAGATCCTTATTTATTTCTTTCCATTATGTGACTCGTTTTATGATTAATTCGATGATGTGCAATTTGTGCAGGCTATAATCGGGCCATGGTTGATTTTGAAAGGAATTTTGCGAGCTTTCGTGAATGAGATGCGGAGGTCACCTGAATGATGGAACTCACTGGCCAGTGGAACCGCGCCAAAAACAGCAGCACAAACAGCGGCCAATCCTCTGATGTAGATCCGGTAACGACAATGCCGTCAATAGGCAATCCCAATATGCGGCCACATCCTGCAAGGTGATAGTCATCTCACATTGGGTCTTGTGAAATGTATGTGTCTCTGGTCTCCACCTCTCGACCAGAGCACTAATTAATGAGGCATCAATATGAAATAAATTATACAATTATCACGTGTTAACTAGGGGTGTCAATATGGGTTGACACGACACGAATTCGACACGACACGAATACATCAACACGAACACGACACGAATTTTCATTCGTGTCAAAATCTTCAACACTGACACGACACAAATTTTTTGCGGGTTGACACGACACGACACGAATAACACGCAAAATAGGGGACAAAACGGTAATTGACAGAAAAATTTAAAAAAATAGATCGAAAATAAATAAAAAATTAAAAAATAATAAAAAATAAATAAAAAAAATAATAATTAAAAATAATACGGGTCGACACGAACACGAATTCATAAACACGAACACGACACGAATTTTTTGCGTGTCATTTTTTCCAACACGAACACGACACGAATTTTTTTACGGGTCAACCCGAACACGAATTTTCGTGTCGTGTCGCGGGTTGACCCGCGTGTCAAAACCCATATTGACACCCCTAGTGTTAACGAATGATATTGAATAATTACATAAATACAAAACGCCATAAAGTGCATACCTGGATATGTCACATCCGGGCAACATGTATAAATCCAGCCTGTGTGAGGTGGTCAGTGACCACCTCTGAAATAGCGCCGGTAGGTGGCCCCCCTGAGGTTTCCCACGCCTGGTCTTCAGTCTCCTCACATGCTCCGTATTCCACACTCGCTGTGAAATATGGGCACATTGTGTCCTCTTACGAAGGACGTCCCATCTATAAGGTATGATGTACATGCTAGGATCAGTAGGCTCTTGATCCGATGCAGAACCCGAAGATGATGATGAATCAGGCATGACCCTAAACTATATAATATAAAACAACAATGCAATTAATCACATGTAACAACGCATTTTATGTACAAATTAATTAAGCAATGCCCTAATTTATTATAAAAAATATTAAGCATAAACCTTATGTTTTTACTACAATCGAAATTAATTAAATAATATCAATACGTAGCACAGTCATTCATTTGTAATTAAATAATAATAAAATACCGGACACAAATTAAATCATACTGGCATAATACTTAACCCTAAGTCACTAATAACTTCATAAATATGTACTAATCAAAACACCTAACTGATTGCAAAATTATCAATACACTCCCGCATTAATAACATCATATAAAATTTACGAAGTCACTATCATTATTTTCTAAATCACTACTTAATAGGCTAAACCCCAATGCATAATTAAATTTAATAATAATAAATACGTAACAAAAAAATTACTAAATCATTACAACATTCATAGCATGGTACAAAATTTCTAAGTGACGGATGTTCTAAGTCTCTAATACACGATAAATCCTAACATGTTCGCAAGGTAGCACTGTAATTTAAACTATACATAGCAGGTGTAACGAATTTACCTAAGTTGGCAGAGCTTCGCTACGAAAAATTTCGCGTTCGGTCGGGAGCACAATCCGGGGTTAGAGAGAGGTGAAATAGTGAGAAAAGAAATGGTAAAAATGGGGTATATATAGGGCTCATGTGTGACGTCCCTTTTAGGCGTCACATTGTGCAGTAGATCCGTAATTATTTCCAAAATTATAATAAATACATAATTATTTAATTAAAATGCATTATTTTAATTTGTTTGCCGACAATTATCACATCTTTCATTTGCAAGTTGTTTCATCAACTCGTTATAATTAAGGTCAATCTGGTTTAATTTCATAGTATTTTTTTATTTTGGTTCGGGTTAAGAATTTGTGAACTGAATGATGGTCATATTTAGACACTGAAACAAATCGCATCAGATGTATTCTTGTAGCGTAACAATTTTGCATATCGTCCAATCGTTGATTCAAAAAATCTGAAATTAACCAATACCGTGGCACAGTAAATATAATTCAATTGTTAAAAAAAATAATAATTTAAAAAATAATAAATTACGATAAAATCAAAGTTTAAATGAAGCTGCAAATATGACTATGATTTGTTTGACAAGAAAATAAAAACAACACATTTCGCATAATTTGATATCTAAGATTTAGAATGTGTTTTGAACGATTTG